TTCACTTACATGGTTTCTATGTCAGATACACGAGTGCAGATTACCATAACTCCTGCCCAATTAAATCTCAATCTGTCATTGAGAATTGAATCTAAGCAGTTTGAGTCTGTATGTGGATAAGACAGCTTACAAGTTTCTTAAGCTAATTAAATTCGATATACGCTCAAATTATTCAATTATAGAAATCAATTCAAATGGGAAGCTTGTTGAATGTGTGTAGACTTTAATCAAAGTTGAGATTTCAAAATGTTATATTAACAAACCTTTTCTTTTAATTAACATTCCAAAGTGATACTTCACAAGCCAAAGAGGACTTGCAACTGACTTGCATCTACTGACTAATAAGGTTTGTTTTTGCAGTGAAGCTATATACTTTGTGGTTGCTTTTGAAATCAGTTACAAGCGCAATTTAGCTTTAATTTGATTTGCAGCGCTCACTAAAATTACTCTCTTAATGACCCCGCAGACATACATAGACAAGTGTACAAGTGTTTGTGGGCTTGTGTCTCTTAGTGTATTACATGCAAGCTGAAGTCAGTTGCTTAGAAGAGGGTCTCAAGTAGTTAGCACACATGTTTACAATAAACCAAGGCAGTCAGCTTGAGAGGCAGTAAACTAAATGGCAGCTGTGCAATTCACACACACAGCTAACACACACAGCTAACACACAATAGCATCCGCACACACATACAGACAGCGCCACAGAGAAGCAGTGTCAGTCACTTAGTCAAACGACCGCCCGTTTCAATTTGTCAGTCATCAGAAGTGCCAAGTGCAGTCTCTGTGAGTGTGTGCGTGTGTGTGTGTGTGTGCGTGTGTGTGTGTGTATGTCTATGTGTGTGCGTGTGTGCTATTTGTATTGTCTGCATGTCAAAGTCATCGTGTTAACATTAATTAAATCCATTCGGATACCATTCAACAATGCATTGTCCCAGCCTCACTCCATTCTCTCTCCTCACTCCCAGCCTCGCTAAATTCTTTGTTTTAGTTTGAATTTGCCATTGATTCTTGCATCTTGCTTGTGAATGCTGCATTTGCGAGCAGTTTTGTCATAACTAATGAAATTTGAAAATATATATTGCGCAAATATTGGTTTAATTGCCTTTTATTCAATTCACTTCAAATTGTGCAAATATCGAGTGCTTCTCAGCATGCAAGAAATATATCAATATCGTTATAATCCTTGGGGGAAAATATATAAAACAATGCCAGAAAACAAGCTGTTCACTTATTGGTATTGAATTAGGCCACATTTGTCAGGCAATTGACTCGTTTTAGCTGCTCTCATAGATATCTAAATGAATTCTTTAATTCAATTTAAGCTATTGATAACATAAATAATTATTGGAAAATTTAAAATTAATTATCTCGATTTATATTTTTGTATATATTTCCGGTTCAAAAACTTCGTAGTATTCATTCAATTCCATTTTATTCAATTTCATTCGCAAGGAAGACATTCTTTAATATTATTTGAAAATTAAATTAATAGGCTCAATTACAATTTTTTGTTCAGCAATCTGGCGCATACAAATTGTTTATTTGTATTATATTCTTTTGAACTGAAATAAAATAAATCGCTACTTTGATCTATGCTCTGCCTATTTTTTGGTTTCCCGCTAAGAATCTTATGCTCTCGGCTGATAAATACTTAATTAAAATATGTCTGTGCACGGGCGGCACTGAAAAGTATGCTAAGCCCAGGGGCAAGAAAACAACGGTAGCAAGAGCAACACCAACAGCAACACCAACAGCAACAGCAATAGCAAAAAGCAACAGCAATAGCAAAAAGCAACAGCAACTGTCACACAAAAAGCATTTGTTTAATTATTTAAATTCAATTTCACGTCATATCAAATTAGTGCCACTCATTTCCACTCCAAGCACGTGAAACATGAAAGGCGACCACATGTGCGGTGTGTGAGTGTTTATGTGTGTGTGTGTGTGTAAATTAGTGTGAGCTTCTGTTCATTATGTTCATGTGTGTGTGTGTGTGTGTGTGTGTATAAAGAGCTAAAGACCAACAGTTTTTAACTCATTTTCATTACGTGTCCGACTCGTTGCTGCCAACATTTTTATTTGTGGTGCACATAATGCCACACACATATGCTTATTATTATAATTATTATTACAAGTATGATTATTATTATTATTATGCATTCGCTCGCTAAATTCTTGGCTCGTCAAATGCGTGACTGAATGCGCACAAATGTGCATGCGAGCATGTAATAGACGAGGGTATGTTTGTGTGTGTGCATCCCTGACTTCAATTGCAGTTACACACACACACACACACACACACAAAGAGAGTTCCACACAACTGAAACTCACGTAGACGTTGCATAATTGAATTAGCCAAACAACGCTGCCGACGGCATCCAACATAATGCCTCAAACAATGGCCAATAATGTGCCATACGAATGGCGACCGACAGGAGCCTGGGCACAACGGCAGCTGTGGCAGGTAATTGTGCGGCAATAGTAGTCCCAGCAAGTAGGGGAAACAAATAATACACACAAGCACAGTTATGAGTAGTTGCCTGCATTGAATGCGACCCTCTACCATGTGAATCCTTAAGGGAATGCTGGCAAACAGAAAGCAATTGGTATGAGTTGAAAACCACAACATGTACTTAAGCACCCACCCACAATGCTTTAAGTTTAAATAACCCTTTAATACAATTAAAGGTCTAATGAAGATGACTTTTTATACCACAAGTCTATTGAATTTTCGAGAAAGGGTATTACGAACATGTTCAAAAGTATGTGTGAGGGAAAGCAGTAACTGCCAAGTCAATTGTCTGTTTTGTATTCGATAGCTGAAACTCGTTTTGAGAATATCGATAAAAATTGAAATCGAACAGCTGAATTCAGGGTATTTCCTATTAGAAGCCTCTCGACCAGCGCATGCTGACTTGTTTATCATTAACTAAGTGACATAAAACGATTTAGTTTTGTGTTTAAATTCAGCACGATCTTCATGGCTAAGAACAATCCAACTATGAATTATCTATTGTATTTGCATAATATATAAAATTCTGTATAAAAATATTATGTTACCAATATTATGTTACCAATTAATTTTCATTCGTCTCTTAAATTAGACAGATAAATATTAGATAAATTACCTTTAATAGGCATAATTTTCAGCGATTGTGTTTCTGCAGAAATAAATATAGATTATCACATTTCATTTCACAATAATATAATAAAATCCTTAGATTTATTGTTAAGTACATTAAATGAATAAACATATATTTCTGATTAGATAATATCCCATTAAAAAACAATTTTTCTTTATCGTATTTTCCTTCCGAATATTTAGTTGCACACACACGACACACTCGCACACACGCTCAGCATATGCAATTAAAAACAGAAGTTTATTTTTACGATTATATGGAACGTAATATAATATAAATTATATCTGGCTCCCCGCTGGCAATATTAATGGGCATTGAGTTTTTAATTAACTGAAACTAAAATGGCTCTCCAAAAACAAACCATGACTAATTTAGAGTACTTTTCCACATACCCTCGTGCTCAGAGAGCCCCCGCAAATTCATTTGCCACGCGCTTGTTTTGTATTAATAGCTCATAAATAAATTTTCCAAGCGCAAGAAAAAAAAACGCAACTTATTGCTTTATTTGTGTACGAGTATTTTATATATGGCGAACAATTTTTAAACATGCCGCATGACAACAGCAACTACAAAAGCAATGGAAATTTGTTTGGTGCTCGAGCTAAGCGAAAGCAAAAAAAAAAAAAAATCAGAAAGTACCAAAAGCACTCGCAACTTTTCCAGCTGCCTTAAATCAGTTTAACCGGTTTTTACTCAATTTTTTCCCTGTTTTCATAATTTTCTGCTTTATTTTTTTGCTGATGTCATGGCGAACGCTCAAGTTTTACTGTTATTGCTGTGTGTTGCTTGTTGTTGTCTTTTATTGCTGGCCAAAGGAAAGAGCTGTGCTGTCATGTATCGATTTTATAGCGACCACACCTTGCCCCTCATTTGGCCATCCTCCCCATATACCCTACCCTTTACCCTACGCCCTTCACGAGTCACTTTATCGCCAAGCGATATCTATATAATGGGGCCTCAGTTTGATTTGTACGCATTAAACTGTAATCTGGTCAAGGTTCTTTATCGCATTGCGATTATTATTGTATGAAGCATCTTGTTTTGTTTATCATCGTCATCATCATCATCGTCTCATGTGATTGGCGCACTTCCCTTTTTCCACAATTGCGGTGCAAAAATAAATGTTCAATAAATACGCAAAAAAAAAAAGGAAAGAAAAATAAATGAAAAAATAATTTGATTGATATTTTGAGTTTATGACTCAGTTTTGGAATGCACAAATCAAAAGATGTAAAATGGTTTGATCAAAAGATCTTTTCCTGTTGTGGCATTGCAATTAATGCCATGAGTTTGTGGCCTGGTCAAAAATAAAGCAATCAAAGTTTGGCCAATCGAAATATTCAAGAATTAAGATCAGTGCATATCATTATGCTTACTTAGAAAATATATGTATATGTATTTATTTCAGTTGTTGTTTGGTAACTGAAAAACAAAGCTGAATCCATACGAATAAAACACAATTCAATTATTTGCTTTCCGTTTTTGGTTTTGCTCTCGATTTTTGTGATCTACTCCAAAGTTTCATACGGAATCGATCCAAAATACATATGCACATTTATTCACATTTAAAAAAATAAATTCAATACATTTACAAGAATATAATAATATTTGTATATATATGTATATGAATATAAGTGTTGTGTCTGTTGTGTATTTCTGTTTGTGGTATATGCAATTGAATTGTTAGACAAATATATTCATTTTCGAATGCATAAATGCTAAAATATAGGAGTATATTTATATATATGTAGTTGTGTGTGTGTGTGTGTGTTTTCATTTCGTATAAATCAACAATAGTTGCTTCTCAAGTTTGGTTATTGTTGTTGTTGTTTTTTGATGCGTTTCGCTTTAGTCTAAATAAATAAATATTTTCCGCACATTTGGTAACATGAATAAAAAATACAATTTCCAACAGCACTTCTCCGAGAGACCTCTACAAATTCTATGCGACTTTCTTTTATACATAACATAACATTCAAATATATATATATATATATATGCTATGTATGCTGTAGTATAGTTAGATATATATCAACAATTTTGTATAAGGTAGCAAGTTTTTAGAGTTAACGTATCGTAAAAATAATCATATTTAATCGTAAATCGTAAATTTAATAGTTTAAGTTCACATATATGAATATTTGTGTGTATATATATAGATTTATAAGTATATACTATATATAGTAATAACAACAACAATTAGGGCATTTAGACATGGCACATACAGTTCAGATACAGATCATAGACAATATATGGCTTTTGCATTTGATTTCGCTTACATCATTTTGCGATCCCATTAGGAAAATTTAAGGGACAAAATATCAAAAAGACAAGTACCATTTCGTGACATTTTGGAAATTTCATTTCCCCTTAGCCAACGACAGTAAAAACACAAAAGAAATAAAAACAACAAAAATACTCCGTATTATTGCTTTAAGGCTCTGTGCCAAGCCGAGTCTAGCCCCATTCTCTACGGCTCTCTATAGAATAGACATACGTACATTCAAGATAGAATAGTAGTATTAGGCATAAAATGTGGACCACTTGGACATAAAGTTTTGTTAACCATAAAACAGTTGTTCTCTTTTCTTCTTCTTCTACTTCTTTTTTCTTTTTTTTTGAGCGAGTTGCACTCGTCGAAAAAAAGTGGTGTAGAACCCTCCAAAAAAATGTTGGTTCCATTACAAAAAATGTGTGTGTGTGCGTTGAACGAGTTCAATCCTTCTTGTTGAGAAAGTGAAGGACATAGTGGAGTACCAGATCGTAGCAGTACTTGTACTCGGTCATATTCTCGACGAGCTGTGGACGGTGTCGCCGCACGGTCTTCACGGCCTGAAAAACATCGACTTCACCGTGCTGTATGACCTGCTCGATGCACGCATTTGCGGCACAATAAACGCCGGCACGACTGCGCCCATCGGGCGAGACAACACAGACGGGTCCATAGTCGACCTTGTTGCGCCAGATCTCGACCATATTCATTAGATACACCAGCGAATTGGTTGAACTTGGCACCTTGTGACCCATCGGCCAACAGGTTAGCTGGAACAGCTGGACGGTACGCGTCGGCGCCTTAACACCCGCCATCATTTCCGTTAGCGAAACGATCTTCTTGTTGATCTTGAACTCCCACTGCTTTATATTCGTATAGCTCTTCGACATGACGTAGTGCACGGTGAAGACCGGTCCATATTTCTCCATTTTCGATTTGTTTGGCCAGAACGAGGGATACTGTTGCGATTGCGATGGCGGCTGACAGAGCACCACCACAGCGGAGCACTCATGATCGTAGACCAGTGACCAGAACTCGCCCAGCGTATGCTTCATGGGCCATTCGGTGTTGATGTACTCCCGTGGCTTTGTGTAGCCATCCACAAACACCGAGTTGATGTAGTCTGTGAAGGCGTTGCCCTGAAAACTGGTGAGATACGGACGGAAATTGTCGGGTGGCACACAGAGCACATCGCGATTCTTTTCACGATTGTCCGCCCGATGACCGCCAGCACAGTCACCGATGGTGAAACGTGGCGTTTGCTTGCAGATCTGATCGTATTCCATCTGATACTCGTTCAGCTTGGTGGCCGAATTTCGGCGTGCTTTGGCCTTGAGGCGATCGGAAAGCTCGGAGACGGGAAACCAGGTCTTACCGCATATAATATGCTCCTCGAGCGTATCATAAACGAACTTGTATTGTTCCACATTCTCGACGAGACCTTTGCGCGACTGTCGCAGCTTCTTCAGATAGCCAAAAACGTTGAAGCACTCCTCTTCCTCGGCCAGTTCCAGATTGGCATCGATGGACATATAGACACCGGAACGGCCGCCGCCATCGCTGCAATGCACCAGAATGGGACCACGCATATCGACATCATCGTCATCTTTGATGATATTGCCGACAACGAGTCGCACCCGTCGTCTAAATTCCAGCAGGGCATTGGAGAAGGGGCAGGAGTGGGAATACCATTCCGTATAGTGAAACTGGAGTATCAAACGCTCGTCGGTCACCTCGCCCTGTTCGCTCTTCTTGTACAGTCGAAAGGTGCGTATGTGAAAGTTGGCCAACTGCTCCTCCCGCACAATATTGATGTGAATATCGCCATAGGTCTCGTGCACCTCCATATTCGGTGGCCAGTACTGCACGCACATGACCTTGGCAAAGTCAAAGGTCTTTGTCAGCATCACAATAGCGCTAATGTTCTCCTGCCACACCATGCGCCAATACGCATTCACCGTCTCCTCCACAGGACCCTGAGTGACGATGTAAGCATTCGGCTTGAGCAGACTGTCCACATAGCTGGCATTCACATAGTCGGAGTCGGGCACACCGGGTAGCTTCTGCAGGACAACACGATTGTAGTCATATGGAATGCACTTGGGATTCTGATTCTTCTCCGCGTTGTTCTTCTTCAGGGCATGCCGGCAAGTGTTCGTCTCCACTTTGGCGGCTGTCTGAAATTCCAGTTTATAGAGCACCGGAAATTTGCGACGCAGATCGCACAATTTGAGAAAATGCCGCACATCGATGGGGCCATTGGGTATGGTCTTCGATAGCGAATTGTTTTCGTCGCGCGCCTCCAGCTTGATCCGGTCGAAGGACAACAGGCCGCTGTTGAGCATGCTCAGCTTTATGGTATTCGGTATGGAGACAATGGCGCGACTTTTGCGCTGCTGCCGTTCGACGTCATCGTAGCGTGCGGATGACCTCGACCTGTGCTTGCTTTGCTTTGTGTTATTTCCACCACTTGTGTTGCCATTTGTTGTTTTTGTTGTTGTTGTTGTTGCTGCTGTTGCTGCTGCTGTCATGGTGCCGTTATCCGTAGTCGACGTAGCTGCTGCTGCTGCTGCTGCTGCTGCCGCTAGTTGTTGTTGTTGTTTCTGCTCCGTTGTCATCATCAATCAGTATACAGTATACAGTTTGTGTGCGTGTGTGTGTGTGCGGGTGTGTGTGTGTGTGTGCAAGTGTGCGTCGTTGCGTATACGTAGGAAGAGGAGGAAGTAACCGATTAGTATTTGTTCATTTGGCTCATTCTTTTCGGTTTTGGTTTTAGTAGCTTATTATTTTGCATTGCATATGGTTTCGCTTTTTCGCTTTAGCTTTTGGTTAGTAACTGTGAATTGTGTATGTATTTTGTTTGTTCACCTTTTTTTTTTTTAAATGCGCGTCGCGCTAAACGGAATTTGTTATAAATAAATATAATGCACACGTATATTGTTGGCTAATTTTCTTCTCGCGCTGTAGATGAATACTTTTTATTTTCCTTATTTCTTTTCTTTTCTATTTTTTTCTGTTTTTTTTTTTTGTTTTTTCTATTGTATTTTTCTCTCTGCTCTTCGCTTCACTTCACCACAACGACCACTGTTGTCTGGCGTGTGTTTTTTGGTTCGTCTCTATCGTTTGCAGCTCTACCTGCTGCTGCTGCCGCTGTTGCTGTTGATGTTGCTGCTGCTGCTGCTGCCTCGTTGGGGCGAATTTCGTGAACGACTGTCCGAACACTGTGCGATGTTTTGCGCTTTCACCTCAACACGGGCAGCCTGACAAGGCGAAAAGAGAGATATTTGGCGAGAGGGAGAGCGCTGAACAGCAGCAGCGCCTGCTGGCTGGCAACATATTCACCATGGCACATGTGACTGGCGCTACTTGGGTGCGTGACGGGTATTTTTAGCTATGCGGGTGGAACGGAATGTGAATTGCCCACATTGGTATAAAAACACGACAATTCGCTCTCAACTAAATAGTTTATAAAAAAAGTTAGCAATAATAATAATAATATATTTCTTTACAAAATATGAATTTCAAAGGCAACAAATTATATTTTTTATAATAATATTCATAATTTATAAAACAAATATTAATCCACTTTACAATAAGAAAATGTTATTTATGTATGTATGATTTAATAACATTTTAAGCTATAATTATATATTAAATATAATTATATTATGTATATTATTATATATAATAATTATTCTTAATGAATGAATCCTTTGTGGTATAATTTACGTTACACTGAGTATAAATAATTTCTTACATATTCCATTCAAATTTCCATTTGATTAGCCATCACACAGTGCAATTCACCTTATAGTATGAATGAAAATTTCGATTTTCCCATTGCACGCTCATTTCGTCGCAGCGAAAAGCTTCCATTTGCCACACAAGCGATTTCGCCCCAAAATGCTGCTGCCACAAATGCTCTCTCCCAAAATAATCTCTCTCTCTCTCTCTCTCTCTGGAAATTTGTTTTTGGTGCTCTTGACGCTTGCGCCTTATGCGATTTTCGCTTTTCATCACGTATTTTGTTTTCGCCGATTGTTTTGCGATGTGTAATTGAAAATTCCGTTATTTAAATGAGGAAGTGACGTTGATTTGTTTTATTTTGTGTTTGTTTTTGTTCTTGTTTTGATTGTCATTAAGCATTTTAATTTCCATATTTAATTGTCAGGGCAGACCCAAAAATTATGAATTATTTGCGTCGCAGATTTTCGAATATTTTTAATAACTGCAGTAAATTAACATTTCCTGTTTTGGTCAGCTAACTTTGCCATGCGATTCGATTTCGTTGTTGTTTCTATTCTAGTTGTTATTGTTGTTGTTGTTCTGCATTTTCACATTTTCACGTTCACACACATTTGATTTCCGTATGCACCTCATCGAAATAGCATTTGGCAAGAGCCCATAGCCAAAGAGGAAGCGCAGCGCAGCGCGTCCCCTCGACACATGCCATGAAGAACAAACAAAAATTAATGCCCCGATCGTAATGATGTTATTTGATGATGATCATCATTATCACAGCATCGTGTGGCCGATGCCGATGCTGTTGCTGTTGCTGTTGCTGCTGCTGCTGCTGTTGATACTGATGAAGTGTTTGGCGCTCTCGAGGTAATTTCGAATTTCGAAATATTTACACGAACGTATGTCAAATAATTCGAAAATGTAAACAAATCGTTTGCATACATATTGGACCTCGGCAATCAAATCTTGTCTCGATAAGTATATAGCCTTGGTGATATTTATTTGTGTGTGCATATGTATTAATGCAATTTGATGCCCTCTATAGATATACGCATTTAAAAATAATTTAATGGCACACAATTCTGAATTCTTTGAAATTTTTTTGAAAATCAAATTCAAACTTATCATGTGCCTAACTATAACTATTAAAATATTTAACTGTGAGCTATGTTGAACTGTCCTGATATATAAAGGCATATTTCTCTTCAATAAATGAGCGAACAAAAGACTAATTTATCTCTCGATAATGAATTGAGTATGGATATTGAGTATTCATGATATATGTATATATACTTGGAGGTACGAAAGCATTTAAAGAGATCTGTGAAATGCATCGGTTATTATAATTACTATATCATGCATTATAGATTTATTTGCTATGTATATAATTGCATTATTTGACGATCACACAGCGCAGCTCAGGTATAAATAGTAATTGATCAAATTCAAATAAAATAATATATTCTCTGCTCATATGAACATATTCTGGAGATATTATATTAACAAGCTCTGTGGAGCTTGGTATTGCTTGCTTTACGGGTTTTGAATGAATATGGCCATAAGATACAAAAAGTGATTCAGGTAATTAATATTATTACAGTTACACAAAATTTAATTTTAACAAATAGTTAGCAATTCAAAAGTGATTCAAGGCTTTTTGCTTGATGACTCGTGTTTTTTGTAAAATAAATAGATTTTATTAGCTGCATCAAACAGTTACTGATACACAAATCTATTAGAAGATTTTCAAGTCCTAAGCTTCTGCGGTCTCCGTTAGAGTATTGAAAATGGTTCATAATATTGGATACACTGTGTCTGGCGAGTCGTAGTCAATTAAAGATAGTTGCCTACCTTCAGGCCGATGATAATCCTACGTAAAGCCGCGTGGCTCTTGTGAATTGCTGTAGTCACCTAATTTGAGAGCTGTTGACCCATTAGGCACACAAAAGCGTGGCGCCCCTCTCAAAACGGCGCTGGTGCGCAGCTCAGGCACTTAATATGCCACCCTGCACCGATAAACGCCCCACAACCAACTCACATAAACACAAACACACACACACACGCACACACACACACACACACACACACACATCCAAGGGGAGAGCGAGGAAATACGCACACACATTTATGACTAAGCCAACAAAGCGTTGAGTGCGGCTGACCGCAGCTTGCAGGACTGAGGACGACGCATCTTTAGCGCCACAAAATCCGTATTTAAGCCGCATGAGGCAGCTGCAAAACCAACCCAAACTAAGCCAAGCGGAGTAGTACAAAATTGAACCGCACCTCTTTCGGCAGCTCAACTAATTAGAATTAAATCAGCTAAAAGGGAGAAATGTAGACTTGCCACTTACCTTGCCAAATATGGTGAGTCCGCCATGCTTCATATTAAAGTTTGGCGCGTCCGCATAGCTTGAATCGGCCCACGGTGTATGGCATGTCGATGTTAAGGTCATATACCGTACACCAATCGCATACAGGGTGCGCAGTACCGCCAAAGAGCCACCCAGCGAGTGGCCGCCCTCAACACCGGTTAGCGAGCAGAGTTGTTGGTTTTTGTGTGCATCGATGATGTCTGCAATGATTGCAAAATAACAGACATGGAAGCATTTCAAGAAGTTGAAGTTGAAGTTTATGTTGCAGCTGTTTTGCACAGAATTACAATTGGAGGCTTAAACTTGGCATTCGCTTTTTTGTTCCTTGCTAGAAATGTTCTGTTTTGGTACACTTGGCAAAATATATTGTTCTTGAATTTTTCTCTTTTGTTAGAATATTAATTTCTGGATTTGAAAATACTTTACGAAATGATAATTTTATTTTAAAAATGCATTTTTTAGAATTTATTTCTAAATTTGGGATAGTTGTATGTATTATATAATTATATATTTTCTATTTATATATGTGCAATTTTATGTCAAAAAAATAATTAAATAATGGCAATTTTTCTAAGTGCATACACGTCTGTCAATTGCTTAGCTGCCCCGTTGAGCTCTCTGTTCATTGCGGTCTTAGTCTGTCTCTGCGTCTGTCTGTCTCTTTGTTGGTCTGTCAGTTTAGCCCAACATGGCATTTGTGCTATGCTATGCAATATTTACGCTTGTCTTGGCCAGCAGCTTTGATCTCTTTCATGATGCTCTATTTCGTTTTGTTGCGAAGCACTTGTCAAAATACTTGCTTATTGTTTATTGTTATTTATTTTTTTCTGGTATTTTTTTTTTATTTTTGTTGTGGTTGTGGTTGTTGTTTTGGGCTATTGTTTTTAGCCAGCAACTTGAGCAATGCTTGCATAAAGTTCTTGAAGAAGTTCTGTTTTTCTTTTCTATATATAAACATATAAACTATCTAAATTTATTGTTGGAGTGCCATAAACAACTTCGCCTGGCTGACCTATTTTTCCAAATGCTAAAAGTCATTAAATGGCTCTTGAACTGAAAACTGAGTATATTTCATTAAATAAAAACTTAATAGCAGACGTTTGGAAGAAGTTGAGTGAAAAGTTTCATAAAATTGAAAACAAGAGACTCAAAGCAAAATTGTAAGTAGATTAAATCAATTTGTTTGATAAATGAATATTAATTAATTTTTCAAAAGGTATCAAAATTTCTTTTTAATGAAATTTTAGAAGCTGACAACAAATGAATTGTTTATAGCAAAGTTAGCTTGATGTGAAGCATTCGATTATATTTATTGAAACTACCTCACCAATAGTCGTATGAGTAAAATCTGCATCCTTGGGGGAATTCATGGCACAAACACGCACACTTAGAAGCCATTCAATAATTTGTCGCTGCGTTCAAATCAAGCATTGTAATAACATTTCAAATATCACCTACAAGGAAAGCGACTCAATAAATTGCCACAAAGGCAGCAAGGGGGGCTGGAGAGAGCTGGGAACATAAGGAGAGGCCACAAGTCACAGGATGTGAACAGGGTCCTTGCTGGCAAGTTTTCAGGTAATAAGTAAATAAGCTGCGTAAAATCAAAGGGCGCACTTGTAGGAGCAGCTGCCCCTGAATAAAGAGGACTTGTGGTTGTTGCTGCTCCTATTGTAGTTGTTGTTTTTATTGTTGTTGTTATTGGCATGGCTTCTGGCTGCTTGCATTGTTATGGGAGCCAGGAAAGCAAATACCTGCCACAAAACCTGCTCGATGTCGTCGTGTCGTAAAACCCTAAAATATGGAGCAAATAAACAAATATTCTGGCAGGACCTTTAGTGTGCAGCATCTTTTGCTGTTATAGTTGTTTGCTGCTGTTGCTGTTGTGGCACTCAAACGGGTGCCAGCAAAGGCACTAAAATGCGCCACGTGAGCTGAAGTTCAATTTTTCGCTTGTGCAACAGCCGAATGGGGCAGCAAACCGAGTGAAGAAACAGCAGAAGAGACCTGAAGGGACTCGGCATTGGAGCTGCTGCTGGTCCGGCATCGTAATTGTCTGTGACTGGGTTCGACCATGGCGACCATGGCCTCAACGTAATGTATAATATATGGGCCATGCATCGGATGCGATTTGGGGCAATAGCGAATCGAATTCTCCAACACATTTCAGAATGAAAATCCCCAACCAAATGCCACTTGATGCTATAAACCAATAGTAAGAATAGCAAGTGTGCCAAACTCCAATCAAGAAACTCAAACACACTCTACAAAGTTTGTTACACACATCAGAAGTGAATAAGGAGAACAACATCAGATAGTTGAATTCAATAGAAGTACAAGTTGATTTATCTAAGATTTCTATGGATTGATGCAAGTCTTAAAGAAATATATTTTTACGTTTGAAAACTATAAACATAAACTTCAAAAAAATCAAGAAATGCCTTATTAATAATTCTCTTATCAGTAACTCGTGTTTTTCTATTAAATATTTTATAATTACTGATAATAATAAAATGATAATAAATTCCAATCGACTATTACACATCTGATTTATTTATGGAACCCAAAACTCCGCGTACTCTATCTATTCAAAAGTAATAAGAAAAGCGACAATCAATATTTTTCCATACGATTCATTTGATAGTCTTGCAAGATTTCGCATGCGCCCAGGGATGGCATTAAAGTGTCAAAGGCTTCTAAACTGAATGCAATTTCTGTGTTCAATTTCTTTATATCTCTCTCCGTCGTTCTCAATCTCTCTCTCTCTCTCTCTCTCTCCCTCTCTCTCTCACTCACGCAATTGCTCAACGTAAATGTAAGTTTACACATTTCGAAGGTATAAATTGAAAACTGCGAATGAAAAGCATTCACACATCTACAACTATAAAATGCAAAGTACCAGAATGCTGGCAACTGACATAACTGCCAAAAAATGGGTGGACAGCTTCAGGAAAAATAAAAAAAAAACGAATCTTAATCTTTTTGCCATTTATTGTGTATATGCAACGCGAGTGCAGCACTCAAATGTATCTGTGTCCGTTTGTATCTTAGCAGGAGCAGGCATGAATCTAAAGAAATGATATTGCCACACAGTAGAAGACAGGAATACAAAGGACACACATGGATTGAGACTGGTGACTAACAGACTGACTGAGTGACTGACTGACTGACTGACTGACGTGGCATGTCAATCGTCGAGTTGTGTTTCGGTTCGTTAGCTGTGCATTTTTACAATCACTTTGGCAGCTCAACATCTGACTGTATGGAAGTGGGCGTGACCACGTCCCCTGCTCGCTCAATGGTCACTTTTATTTACACGACATGTGAGCGCACTACAATTTGAAACTGAGTGAATTTATTTCGAGTACTTTCAAATAAAATGTGGGGTTTTATTTTATGCAACAGCAGCTGCCAACATTCACGTGCCCCGGCTCTTTATCAAAAAAACGTCAGGGGTTGTGAGAGGGTTAGGTTAAATTTTTGGTAAAGTGTGTTAGTTGGAGTTTAAATATGTGCTTGATCCTTTGATTTGAATATGTTCACGGTGCATGAGATTGGTAAAACTGAGTAAATAATGGAATCGTTCAGTTAGTCTCGTTTTGAGTCCATATTTGCTGACAGTTGATTAAACGATGGCTTTGAGTACGCATCGTATTTAATTGCTTTATATTTATTAACTTACTGATTTTATGATATGTAAAAGAAATAATACAAACTAGCTCAGCAAATTTACTCACCAATCACCGTTTGGCTGCAGGAATTTAAAGAAGTTTACCAACTCAATTGAGAAGAGCTTAGCTTGGCTATATTTTCTCGTTGCCAAAGCTCACACAATTTGGCAGTTTGTTTGCCACTCACAGTGAGTCCAGTGTGGAGCTCTGCACGAAGTTGGGCAATTAAATAAGAAAAGTGCATGCATGTCATCTGCAGAGAGTTGACTGAATTTTTGCTAAACCCATGCTGATCTCTCTTCAGCTCCAAATTTCATTCCTATTTTGATTGCTTAGTTGTGGAAATGGTTCGCATTTTTGTTGCAACAACAGCAGAAGCATGACTCAATCCTTAGCCTCTGACAGCAGTTATTCCTGTGTTTGGATAATAAATATTGTCGGTTCTTATCAGAATTTAGCAGTATGCTGCAAGCATTTTTCGTTGCATGCTTTTCCGTTCGCTTATTTGTAGCAATGTTGCAACTGCAATGTTTTTCCTGCGCTTGATTTTATGGCCATATGATTTATTCACATTTCCATTAACTGCTGAATAAATGTTACGACGCGAAATACCGGAAGCGATTTCTTGTTTGTTTCGCCGCCGGCTTTTCTATTAGAGCGGCAACAAAAGCGAAAATAAAAAAACAATAACAAGGCACACTAAGAGATTGCCAGTCATATGGCAACAAATCAAAATGCAAAACGGAAAGCAGAAAAAGACAGAAGTGAAAATAATAAAATACTCAAATGCTGGCCGGGAAAGCTCGAAAATAAGTCAAAACTTGCAATTCCACTTGCAGTTCTCCAGACTGTTACAGCATCAGTTGCGACCCCTTGTGGCAGGTGCTTTCCCAATCTATCTCACCCCCCCCCACCAGCTGCTGCTACCCGCTGTTAACTAGGTGAGTGCAAAATATCAAAGGAAATGGCGCAAAAATATGGCACGCGGTAAGCAGCCAACTCAAGTGCAGGTCTGAGAGCACTGCTGCAAATGTAACAACTGTTAGCGAGTCCCCCTTTCTCTCTTTGAATACCCTTGCAGAGGGTGCCATCAGCTTGTGAAATGCGTGAGGAGACATCTCTCAGTCTGCATGATTATTATAAAATATGTATATTCATGCTGCACAAGCAATTGGAGTCCATATGAACTTTTGGTACTACTAGTGAATAAATCATATTCCAAAATATTTAAACCAAGTTACAATTCTGCTTGCATATTTTCAATAATTTTAAATCGGCTACGTAAAATTTTTGCTATAGAAAAAATCACTTGAAAATTGCGTTAGGAAAGGAAAACACCGTCAAAGCTAAGCGAAACTGACGCATTTTTGTCAAATGCCTGCAAGCGTATTTAATCTTCGGCAACTTGATAGACAACACTTAGTTTTGTTTTTTCTTAATATTTTTTTATGTTACTATTACTTTTTTTTTGGCTGCTTTGCTTTTACATTTGGCTGCCAGCCAAGATACTTCTGAACAAGTCGCGAAAAGTTTCCAGCATTGCAACCAATTGAATGCGTGGGCTACGAGAATGTTTCGAATTCCAGCAGATTCACAGCAACTAAACTTTTGGGAATGTTCGGGCCTATGAGGCGTATGTGTGATGTTTTTTCCTGGTATTTTTGTGGAGGATGAGGAGGATGAGTACTTACCCTGAGCCGACGTGCAGGTAGTTAATTGCGGCGAATATCGATCGGTTAGTCTTTTGATCACATCAATTTGCTCCAGTGTCAGCTGCACAGCATCCCGATGTTGCGCCTCACAGGGAACATAGGCTGCCCAGAACTGCAAGAGGAAGAGGCAGAAATATATCATATATATTGTATTTATCACATAAAAGTTAACCAGTATAATACAAGTTAGGATGCTCTGGTCAAATGAGTTTTACTAGAAGTTATTCTTTACTCAAGATACATATCTACATATCAAAGCGTGTCAGACCATGACAGATATGCTATTTCTTTGAAAAATCGTATTTTCTAACTGAGAAATTCTCATTCCCGAATTTGCCAATAAGCTGCAAATTAAGATTACGAAACAGGTTCAATACTTCGAAAATGCGCCATAAATGGTTCCATTAAATACCAATTATTTTAATGTTAACAAACACTCATTCCATTATAGTTATTTACCACCAATTTGACTCCAAACTTTACAGTTGCCAATTTGAATATATCTGGATATTCTCTTAACCAGCTGAAAAGTCGCAGTCACACAGATATTCATACTCAAATACACATGGAAAAACACATTGCAGTAGTTATCTCGTTTATTGTCGCATTTCATTATTTCCCTTAAAATGCCATGCAGGTGATAGAGGAAGGGAGCAGAGGGGTTGTCGCAGAGCAGCATCCAACGAACTAATGACATGTGGCAGCAACACCAACACCAACAACAATGGCAACACAATTTCCAAATACCTTATGTAAACGCTCGCTCGTACAATCGTAATGAATGTTGCCTCTACCCATAACTTTGCATATGACTCTGCCACTGGTTGTTCCTCTACCACTGCCCCAACTGGGTGCCACTGAACTGCACCTTTGCACACTGTTGCAATGGATGTACAATTAACCTGAATTGAGGCAATGCTCATGTTTTGACCACCTGATAAGCTGAGACAACGAGTATGGCCCCGGAACTGAGGAAAAATAATCAGAGGTGCCAAAAATGGTAGGAGTCCATACCGAATGCCGAGCTCAGAACAAGAGGAAATTCTCAAATTGAGACTAGCAATTACCCTGTAGCTGAAAGTTCCATTGAGTTATTATATAACATTTAATTTGATTTACGTGTGTGCACTCATTTTGAACTATTCATATTTTGGATACTATATTTGACCATACACTTTTGGGAACTATTTTTTTTTCAATTTAAAATTACACATCAACCAGTCTATTTGTGATGAATTAAATAATTATTTTGTTTGTTATGTTCCCTAGCTTTTTCAATTATTCATGCATGCTACAGTCGTTTAATTCTTCAAGAATATGCATTTAAATAAGTATATCCCTTTGGGTTACGAGTTATAGCAACTAACTGAAAATCAACACTGGGAAATTGTTCGGGGCTCTGGCTAAAACATGTGGGAGTCGTTGGCTGGACAGGTGGATAAACTTTGCTGCTGTGCAAAATGGAATTTACCTTTGCCATTATTGTTCCTGCTGCATAGGGGGCAGTATGTAAGCCGGGAGGCTTGGCTGGCATTGTGCAAATTTGCTGGTTGTACAATTAAAATTGCACAAATGTGAAGCACTTGGTTGACCCAGGTTCCCAAATCTAATTGTAAAAGGGCGAGCTCAACACCTCCCCAACCCCCCATCGGTTACTATCTCCCCCTTTCTCCCTTTCTGTCTCTATTTTTTCTCTCTCTTTACCTATGTATATGGTCAACTTCTGTTGAATTGTTTTTCGACCACAGAACTTGTTTAGACTTGTTTATTGAAAAGTTGTACATCTGAAATGCCAACCTGGTAAACGTAAATTTCTCTATGAACGATATATCCTAAGTGAATGCACTTTATTATCATCATTATAGTTATCATCAGCATCATCAACAGCATCGTAATCATCATGTAATTGCTCCTGCTGACGCCTTGGGGAACTGCAAATGAATATTTTCTAGTGTTGTGCTGTTGTTGTTGTTTTGCTTTTAATTTAGTGCCCCTGGAACAATTTTTCGGGACTACGTGCTCAAAGGACTCACTGAGTTTTAGGTTCCGGAATTCTGGCATTCGTCCAGCACAGCCTTACGAATTTATATTAAAAATTATTTATTGCATTTTATGTTTTGCTCCTAGTTCTAGTCCTCTTTTCTCCAACATTTTTGTTATTTTTTTCATTCCGCTATTGTTGGTGTTTTTGTTGTTTCGAGTTGTGTGCCGAACAAAAAGCCAAAACTTTTTAATTGTTCTTCCAGTTGGTGTTGTTGCTGTGTGTTTGGAACTGTTTTTTGCACTTTGCACGCTTTCTTTTCGATGGCAACACGTACATGCTTTTACTTTCCCTAATGATATAACGTGATCTAATGGTGCAAATGCGTTTTACCGTTTCCTCGGAGAACGAGTATTTATATGCTACTACAATGGAATTTGTTAGCCAAGCTTAAGTGTAATTAGCAAACGTCTTGAAAATTATATTAGTTGGAAAAGTTCCTTAAACGATGAAGTTGTGATTAGCAAGCCCTTACATTAATCACAAAAAAGAGTTAAGAATAAACTTTAACAAAGTAGAAAGCAAAGCCAAAAACAGACTAGAAAAAAGAAGACATAACAAATGAAAACATTTTATTAATCAATTAGATTGTTTAAAATATGATGAATAATCTTTGTTTTTGTTATTTAAGCGTCAAAGGATCATACTTTAACAATTATCTTATCTAGGATCATACTTTAACAATTATCTTATCTATTGACATTACGAAACTTTTCTAGAGTTTTTTTTAAAGAAATTTAAATTATAATTGGAATTTATAGTTGTAAATTTTGTTTTGATTTAGCTGTAATTTGTCAGCAAGCATTTCATAACATGTTTTCCTAAATGCTTTTCTCTTTAAGCCAGTAAATTGTTATCTATTTTTAGATTTCTTTTTAATTCAGCTACTTGTCTACATTTTTTTTTAGACTAATTGAGTCAACATTTATCGATTGCCAGCCACAGTGCACAAATTTGCAAAACCTTTCAAAGCACTTCCATTTGAATGGAAGTAAATGTTTTGCTTTTTCTTTTTTTTTTACAGCTTTGCTGTGCTTTGAAAATTGCGCTGAAGATAAGAAGAAATGCCGTCATTTGCACTTGAGGGCAGACAACACGACAAAATTGTGTGGGACAGTTTGAGAGGGACACTTAAACTCTTTTATTTTTTGCTCAGGTCTTTACAATTTAATAGTCTTTGTGAACGTTATTATGACGCGTACTTTACATGTATTTCGCGTGCGTCCCTTTTTATAATGCTTTCTTCTGCTTGGTTGTTTAATTTTTATCAGTTTGTGTTCCACGTAAATCCGCTTAAAGCATTTGTGTGTAGGTATTAAAAGTGAGGCGTGAGGTGTGAGGCGTGAGGCGTGGTGTGTGTTTTTCGCGTGAGGCTTTCGTCGCTCCATTGAAACCGCAGGTAGGCAACAGGTAACGTGGCGTATGCGCAATGCTTAGCTGCTTAGAGTTGGGTGTGTGCATGTTTGTTGTGGTCTGTGTGTGTGTGTGTGCACTCAGCGAAAAACGGCGATGTAAATGCAACTACAACTCGTATAGAAGTCTGTACTGTACTTTCAGTTTGTTTTTAAATATTTTGAGGTAAGTAATAATTAGTCCTGACAAATGTCAGCACAATCAAATCAAATCAAAGCTAGCATTTTTGCATAAAATATAATTTTTAAAAATTTATTTGCTTTTATCCTGATTTGAGTTTGACTTGAGTTGAGTACAAATTGCACTAAGTTTTTTGGAGTGTGTATGGGTGTTTTATGTCTGCTTTTGTCATACGCTGCCGACAGCTGGCAGCAATTTGGTAGATGCTACCTTTTGCGAAATATTTCGCTTATGCAGCCCAAGTTGATTGGACTCACCTGTTGCCCAGTTGGGCCACATATTAAAGGGGTGGTGGTTGGCGCGTGGGTGTTTTGTGTATTTGCTTTTAGACCATGCTTAAAGTGTGCTTAAGCATGGCACTTTGCTATTAGTAGCAGCAGCAGGAGCACCAGCAGCAGCATCAGCGAGAAAGTCACCACCTGCACCTGCATACACGAAAGTGTCTCCAACGTCTCAATGGCGACGCTCTCCCGGAAAGTGCTTGTGGCTCCATATCAGAGCATCAACATCCGCACGAGCGCCATCATTGTCATCATCATCAGCAGCAGCAGTAGCAGCACATCAGCAGCATTGTTGGGCTCCAAGCATATTAATATTTAAAGTTGTTTGGCGCTGGCAGCGACAGGACAGCAAACAAGGACGACGCTCCCCAAGGACAGCATTCTGGCTTCAAGTTAATTGTGAATGCTTTAGGAAACGCCATTGTTGTTGTTGTGTGCGCGTGATTTGTTGTGAATGGGTTGTGTATGCGTCTGTGTGTGTATGTGTGTGTGTGTGTGTGCTTGTTGTGTCTTGTGGTTGTGGCAAACTGCGTCGTTGGCATTTATTAAACGCTTCTACACATAAAAGCAGATGTGTTTTTTGTGGTCGAAATGGCAAACAGAGATAAATTTATCACAAATACAAATTGTGTTTGAAATGCCCCCAAATAAATACTTGATACAATTTAAACATATTCGATAACTGTATTTATATATATATATGCATATATATATATATATATATATATATATATATATATCTCTTTACAATTCCAAGTCGTGCTGCATTCTAACTTGTTTCTTTATTAAATTCTCTTAGCTACATTTTGGCTTGATAAATGAAGTATATACGAGTATCTTTGAGCTGTGGAGCAAGGAAACTACCGAAGCACTTTACAAATATCGAATTATTTAAATGAAATTCGATTTCAATTGAAAGCAACCAACAAATAATTTCCTTCAAAGAAGTCCCAAATTATTTTATGCCAAATTGGGAAGCACTTAGATGCACTTCTTGCCAAACACAGTTGTTATTTGTGTATTTGTGTGTGATATAATTTAAGGATGAGCTCAGTGCTTAAACACATCTAAGAACACCTAAAGAAAATCTTCTACAGCTTAGGCCACATAAAACCTGGTGAGCAATGGCATAACAAAAAAAAAAAAAAACAAAAAAAAAAACAAGTGCTTTTGACCACAAAGCCTTGGCTGCATCCGCTTTGTGTGTTGTTTTGTGTTGTGTCTGAAACCCAACATTAAATACTTTTTAAAAGTAAATACAAATTTTGGGCCAACGGCCAACAAGATAAGCGCTGTCCAATTGCCCCAGCTTTGCCAGTTAGCAACCAGACAACCTACACTCTTCAAAATTATGCAATTATATATAATTCTTGGTTTTAAGAAAACTTGAAGAAAATAATAGTGATTCTCAGAGTATTTTTTATCTAGGAAATAAGAACAATCCATTTTTGCAATTCGCAGAAAGTATTTTTTGCATATCAGATAAATCTACCCAGTTGTTTGAAGCGCCTGGTTTTTGGAAGTGAGTAATGCAAACTGTAACTAAGATTCTCGATTTTCGAATCAACGACATAACTCATTTTTCAGAGTGTAACAACTTAGCAACCAACCACCAACAAGGACCAACGACCACTTTTCAAATCCCTTCGCTACATAAATGCTGAATGCGGCAACGTTCTGTGCTCGTGTTGTTCTGGCACAGATTACAACATGAAATAGCGGCGGCAGAGGCGGCACAGCTCGTTGCGGGTACTTCCGGTTGCGTCTGGATGGGCAGGGATCAGGGAGCACGAGTCTAAACTGGAGAGCGAGGCATCGTGGCAGCGTCCACAATGTGTACGTTTCCTATTAGGCTGCAGTGCTGCAGAGCCAAAACGAGGAGCAGCAACAGCAACAGCAACAGCAGCAGCAGCAGCAACCAGAATGCAGTCAGCCATACAGGCGGACAACCGTAACATGACGTTTCCGTGTCCGTGTCCGTGTTCGTGTTCATGTCTTGGTAAAGACGATGCCACTGACTGGTTACAGCAGCTGCTGCGCCAACTTTTCGTCTGTCTGCTGTTTTTTTTTTTTCACTCAACATTGTTGTTATTATAGCCGCTACCTGCGCAACTATGTTTTGTTGCTTTTCTACAGCAGCAACATTTTAATTTTTTTTTTTTCGCAACTCCTGGTAGCTCTTTAGGCGTGACTGCAGTTGCTGCAGCTGATCCCGATCCTTGCTTGACTACTACTGCTGTTGCTGCCTCCTTGACTTTAAGCGCTCCCTGTTCGCTTTTGAATTGGTTATGGCCTAAACGTGATTTTCGGCATGTCTACTAAAGATTTGCACCAGAGCAGTTTTTTTCTGTTTAACTTTTTGCGACTGCTCGCTACACGTTTGGCATTTTGGGGAACAATTGTTGAAACATGTTGTCATCCAGTTAGTTAGTTGCCAGTTGTTAAGCCATTGTTTTTGTTTTTGCCACTGTTTCTGTTGTTATTGAGTTTAGTTTACCGTCACGAATTGAGTGCGAAATGTTGCAGCTAGTTAAGCGCTTTACGGCTTTTGAGTACTTTGCATTTCACACGCATTTAACGCAAACAAATGAAATTTGGAGCACCATGAAAGTTACACAAAAAAATGCAACTTAATGGACACCAAGTGAAATTTAGAGTAGTAGCAAAATGACCCAAATAAGTAGAATTAATGGTCAGTAAAAAACCATAATGTAAAATATATTATACTTATTATTCAACCAGTTAATTTTGGCAGTTAATTTTGTACAGATGACGTTGCAACAGTTTGTTAATGTTGCGAAAAACTAAGCTAGCTGGACGTGTTTCGTTGGCAAATGAAAAGTTCAAGGAATCTGCGAGCAGAGCATAAATGAATGGTAAACAAATATTTGAAGCAGGAAATCACTTCCATATTTCAAGTTACAACGCTTGCACCCACTGCATTCCATTAACCACGACGATTTCTCACGTGCCAGCCGCTAAAAATGCACTGGCAATAAAAGTGGAAGCAAGTCAACATGCGAACCACATTTTAAGTGAGGCTTTCAACAAGTCTAACGATAATTAACTTTGCCAAGGATCGTCTGGCATGCCGACGATTGTTGCAATCTTAACATTTCGCCAGGCGATTTTATGGTTCTTTCTAGCCCATAAATAAAATGTTGTAACGCATTTTTAGTTTGGTTTGTCGCACACATATAACAGGTAACTGCCAACAGGCAATGTGTAATTGCAGTTTGCGCTGCAAAATTACAAAACTTGCAAGCGGCATTAAGCGCGAAATTACCACAAACTGAAGTAAGTTAAAAAGCGAAAAATTTCAGTTGCTGTCCACAGAGATATCCTATATATAAATGTAAATATAAATATAACGCTGCTGTTCCAATAATTCTGAAACTATATTATTTCTATATTTAAATATAAATTATTTTTATCAATAGTCAAGCTTAATAAATGATGAGTCAAAGAGCCAACATTAATACAACAGTTAAATGCTTAACTGCATGCTGGCTTTGTATATACAATTTGGTAACAACCCTTTTTGATGCTTTGAGTTATAGGGCATAATTATGCTGCACTCAATTTAATTACGTTGGAAAACGGCAAATAGCGCAAATAGCGCGAGTTTGACTCGTTGCCAGCCCATGGAAGGAAGGAATCGTTCAGTGGCTTTTATGGGGCCACAAGTCGATGCTTATTATAACTTAACAGTTTCATGCTGCTTCGTGCCTCCTGCCTCGCGCCACGTCCCGAAAATGTTTTAGTTAACTGCCCTGAGGCATCATCATTGCCATACTTATGGGCATGCTCAACTTGTGCCTCTCCCCAGGCTGGGCGGAAGACACAATGTGGGGGCAACGTTGTGAAAGTTTCTACATTTTCATATTCGATGCTCGATGTTCGATGTTCGCAGAAATTTGCGAATATTGAAGGAATTCTTGACTGTTGGTATGGTGGCTAATTGAAATTGTTGTTCATGGTGGCATTGGCGGTAAATGTTGCCAAAGGCATCAGCGGCTTCAGGTCTCGCTTTGCATTTTCAAAATGCATACACTCTCTCTCCACTTAATGCGGGGTGTGTGCAAATTATTGTGCAAGTGGTGTGTTAATTGATGTCAAGTGTGAGCACTGAAAGTGAGTGCAAATGTTAATGCTGCTTGCATAGAGGAATTCAGGTGCACTGCTTCTCATTTCATGCAGGGAAAACCCCTACGGAAATGAGTTGCTGCAGGCAATAAAGAATATTAAATGCCTGTTCAAATTTCATGGGGCACATTTAAGAAGTTCTCTTTCAAATATTTATTGCAGTCTCTTGCGTTAATTATTAATAGGTACTTTATAGTTTACCTAACTAGTTGGTGTTGCACCAACAAGGTAATAATAAATTCTTCTATGGAACACTTTGAGATTAAAATTGAAATGAAATTGTTCATAAGAAAATCCATGTATGAGGAAAATCATATATAATGTATTTAAATTTATATTTATATGTGTATTATGAAACTTGTATTTATATTTGCATGTTGAACAAAAATATATTGGATCAAAAATACTGAAGAAATATTTGTTCGTAAAGCGAGCGCTTTCTATATAATTCTGACATCCAAATATTGCTATAAATAATTGAATAAAAGTGCATCAAAAAAACTAACGTTTCAGTCAAATTAAATATATTTTCTAAGCGACGCTTTTTTGTGCATAATTCAGATAAGCCAAACCTAAAAAGAAAGCAAAATTATCAGAAGGCCAATAACTGCACACTTGAAACACAAGAAGTCTTATAGCTCCCGGCTTAATATTAAGTGCTGATAAGCTATTAAAAAAGACACTTAAGTTAAGAGCAAGGAATCAATAATGACCAATTAGCAGCAACGTTTAAAACAGAGAGAGAGAGAGAGAGAGAGAGAAAGAGAGAGAATATGAAAGCTTTGTGTTGAGTGTTGCATGGCAAAAATAATTAAAGCATCAGTGGCAACAGCATAAAGCATACGAAAATTAGGTGGGCGAATAAGAAGTAGGAGAAAATTGAGCCGACTTCAAGGCAGAAACGCGCCTTCAGGTAGCTATATGAGGCTTCATTAGTAAAGTGGAGGGGGCATAATTAATTTTTATATTTTTTTGCCTTTGCCTAGCTGAAACTAAAGCTGCCCAGCAGTTGGCTGTGGCTGTACGATGAGCAAAAGCAGCCGAGGCACAAAGGTTGGCAAGTCAAGGCATCAACCACTAGCAGCACTTGGAGAATGGCAAAAGAGAATGAATTTTCAAATGACTTCAATACGATTAGCGGATACACTTTGCTTTCATATTCTCAAGATAGTTGAATTATAAGAATAACCAATGTGACAAACTGACTTTTTATGCCAAAATCAAAAAATGTTAATGAATTTCATTTTAATTTAGTTAAATAAGTAAATGACATTTTCTCCACAAAGGAAAGTTTAATGGTTTTAGATCTGCTCAGCTATTTCTCTTCTTGAGTTTCACTACTGAAAATCAAAAGAATGCGTTTCAAAGCAAATTTTATAATTGACCATAATTGGTTTTTCATTCAAGAGACAATACTTGTATTAACGCCTGACTGATAAATACAATTTTGTTTCGAATTTCGGGTTATTTCGGCCATATTTTTTGAGAAATATATAAATAACTAAAAAAATGTAAAGAAACTTTTTAAAATACTTTCTTTAATACAAGTTTAAGATCATATTTGTATTGCACATATTCTGAAATGTAACCCGTCCAATTATCACTTAATCTAAGATGCCAGTAACCAAGATTATGAATCCAGGCCGGTGGGTGGACACTCTTACTTACCTGTGCTGAAATGCGACCCTTCTTCAGCCGCGTGAGATCCGTGTGGCTCCAATGACTGCGAGCCCAGGGCGCCACGTTGCGCAAATCCTCATCAAAGCTGGGGTCAAAGACAAGGAGAAAGAAAAAGTGAGTGGAAAAAATTAAGCCGAACGTATTAAAAATTAATTGCAATTGCATTGGACTCACTTGAAGTCGTTGAGTTTGTTATGCAGGAACTTGCGTATATTCCAGGGTAAGTCGTTATGCCCATCGATTAAAGGCACTTGATCCAAAAGCTGCACGGCAACGCGTAGGCGCTCCTCAAAAGGTGCACCTAAGTAGAGACAAGGAGCCATTAAACCTAGTTAGCAGCATCTACTAAACTAACTTATACACCTTAACACATTATCGACACTCAGGGACTCGGTGCCGAGAGACATTTTGAGCTTTGGATACGTGTCGTATGCGTTATGGTAATTGATTTATTGTCTGCGACCTGCAGTTCTCAGATACACTGGAGAAAAAATATACACCAACAACTAGTCAAAGGTTCCCAGGAACAAAATTTCCTGCTTAATGGCATTTGATTCTGTATATTGTTCTTTTGAAAATACTTTTCTTACGAATGAAAAGCACTCATGAAAGGTATAAATAATGAAAATACATATGTAGTAGTTTGTCTGAGTGTACTCACTTGCAGCAACACGTAGCGCCAGGGGCACAGCTACACTGGCAGCGCCAATTATCAAGAGTATCGAGCTGACTGCCAGCCAATGCTTGGCCGCATCAAATCCTGCACCGAGTAACGTATACGCAGCATGAGCCGGAGCAGCAATTGCAGGCAGGCAGCAGCAGCAACAATGGCATCAGCATTCATGATGACCAGGGACATCGATTGTTGTTAAATGATGTTGATGTTGTTATTGTTGTTATACCAAGTCGTTTGTAGTGCAGCCCGACCACCAGTAGAAGCAGGAGCAGTAATACAGCAGGACGACGTCGTCATTGTTGGTTGTTGTGCGTTGCATTTTGTGTGTGTGTGTGCAAATTGCCGTGACAGTGCCATTGATTACACCAACAACGAGAAGTTGTTGTTCGAGTAAAATGTTGTTGGTATTTCCATCATTATGCAAGCAGCAGAGCAGTTGAAACGGTAATAAGGAAATATGGTTAGTTAAATGTTGAAAATTGTGTTGCTTAGCTGGATTCTACTTTCTAAATACAAGCAATTTCGTGTTAGCTCAGCAATCAGTTAACGTGTATATATAAATGGCAGATAAAAGGCATTCAAAGTGCTTAGAGTTGACTCATTAACTGTATTTGTAGTGAACTCAAAACACTTGAAGGCTGCATGTCAGTGTGATGTCAAATAAATTGGAGTACAGTGAATAAATTATGTCAAGAAATAAATAACGAATTGAAGCAAGTTGAGAATATTTATTTCAATATATATTATACTGGTCGAAATTGAGTTAATAATACATTAAGAAATCATGATCTTCCTTGAAGTTTGTTCAACCTTTGTTGCCTCTTTCTATCCTCTTTACTAACCAACTCAAATCACTCAAAAGCTGCACTTATCTCAGAATGAATGGATGCAAATGAATAGATATGAAATTCAACTGTGAATCTCATTAGACGATTTGATTACGCTGCAAAGATACTCGTATCAATTGCATGCTGTTAATTTTAATTGCCAAGCAAATTTGATTATGCCACTTGAGCGTTTGATAAGGCAACTGCAACTGCAGAAGCATCAAAAGCTATATAAATAAGTCAGCGGGGACTTAAATGTAGCTTCTGTTTAAGCGTATAAAGCATTCCACTTGATTATAGTGCTCGCTTTTGGCTTATTTTGGATTTGCGACTGACACCAATTCTCTCTGCGATGTTCTCTATTTGCAAAAGTGAATTACCGATGGACGAGTTGCAAATGGAAGCCATGTGCGTCACAAAAGGGATTTTTGTGAGCAAGAATGGGAAGAGTGTGGGGTACGTGAAGGTTGCAGGGCATCAACGATTTGCATATATTAAACGTGAGAGGACACCACGCCAGTTACGCAGTTTTTTTAAAGGTCGCTAACGAACTGCAATTGCCCAAGAGGAGGGATGTGGCCTGAATTTCTCGGTGCCATTTGAACTGATGTGCCGCTGATGAGGATGACGGCGGCGAAGATAGAGTCACGCGGGCATTGGACACGCTTAACATTAAGCGGCCATGTTACATGGGGCGCAATCAAATTGCTAACGACCAAATAGAATTGTGTGCCACCGAAGGGGGTTGAAAGTAGGTGCAGCAGCAGCAGCAGCAACAGGAATGGGTGCTCTGCCCAGCACAATGGCAGGTAAGTGGAAACCAGGGCTGCATCGACAAACTGAACAAACGAAATTTATCAGGAACTGGACAAATTTGACAAATTGCCTGATTTCAAGCAATCAATAATTTTCTATTGGTTGTTAAAGGATGATAACTTGAGGATGTCTCCATAATATCTTACAAACTGACTCGGCTAGTGATGCTGCTGGTAAAATTGTAAAGTCTTCTATAAAAGTAAGTACAAATTATATATATCTTTTTAAGCGCATTCGCTCATCATGCTTATTTGTCGTCCCTTTTGGTTGTACTTACGAAAGGAATTGGTGCCCGAACTGGATGAGCCGCGACTGGGGCACTGTCGATGCTTCCATGGCATGATGCTGGTAACGCTCGAGTGCAGCTGATGATGTTTCTGTGGCGTGGCCGGAATGCCGCCGCCAGATGCCAGTGAGTGTGGCACATCGTGTGCATGATAATGATGCGAATGTGGATGTGAATGTGGATGCTGATGTGGATGCACATGTGGATGCGAATGCGGAAGCGAATGTGAATGCAACTGGGACTGTGAGTGTGTGTGTGAGTGTGGCAATGTTTGGGACTCGCGCTCCTTGAGCATATTGCTGCTGTTGGCGCTGTCGAAGGAGTTCATCGTGAAACTGGATGACGCCAGCACCGATGATGGTTGCATTTTCTGATACGGCACCCGGCAACCACCGTCAATATCCACCAAATTACTAAAGCTGCGACGAGTCCAGTCCATGCTGCTAGTGTGAAATATCTGCGCAGGCTGAGACAATTGTTTTGTGTCCTGCCGCGGCTGTTGTTGCTGTGGCTGTTGTAATGGTTGCTGTTGCAGGCTGAAATTGAGCAGCGATTGGGAGAAGCAGCGACAGCGCTGCTGTTGAAAGTGCGCCAATTGCTGCTGCTGATGCTGCTTCTGTAGGTAGCGACTATAATGCGCCAAATGTCGTGCATAATCGCCGCTGGGCCCAATTGTATTATATTTGCTGGGTGCACCAATGGTTGCTGCTGCTGTCGAGGGTGTTGCGGCTGCAACAATTGCTGCCGATGTTGGCACAAAACACAAGCTCGGATCTGATTTTTGTGTGTGCGGTGTAAAAATGTTGTCCGCCTCGTGGGCGGCAAAGGGCGGGGCGGGCTTATGCTGCTTGTGGGCGTGGCTATTGTGACTGTTGCTATTGCTGCTAGTGCTGCTGCTGTTGTTGTTGTTGTTGGCGCACTTGAGCAATGTCGCAGCGCATTCATCGAGTGCTGTTTTGGTGCAGTCTTCCAGCAGATCGCTGCTGCACAATTGGGCCATACCCAAAACCAGATTGTTGTTGCTCTTATTGCTGACAGTCATGGGCAACTGCTGCTGCTGTTTTTGCTGCTGTTGTTGCTGCTGTTGTTGCTGCAGCTGTTGCTGTTGCAACAGTCGCAGACTGCGCATGCTACCGTTTCGCTTGAGGGCCGGCGGCGGCGGCACTGGCGGTATTATATCCACATCCGACAAGCTGGGCGTGTCACTCTGCTACAAGTAGAAGAAGAAGAAGAAGAACGAGAAGTTGAAGTAAATTGATAACTTGCATCGGTTGCAATAAGAGGAAATTGTATTATGACAATCGAAATGTGCAGCTTCCGGTGAGTCGAGACCAGAAAACAGACCACATGGCAAAAGTTTGGAAAATGCATTAGCCCGAATTTAAGATAAAACTGCAGTCAATATATATGTATCTTAAATAATATTTCATTAAAAATGATTATGTTCTGGTTATACGACTTTGATGTTAATTAAACTCCCAATTATGTTATACAAAACTTATAAAAAGCTGGCAGTAAGTATAAACTCTTTTAAAATTTTAAAAATTATTCAGTAAACAAATGGTTTAAAATTCCACTGCAAGCTTCACTCAATGTGAAAATGCTTTTATGTTAATTGTAGCCCCAGAGAGTAAATTTTACGGAATATTCTATATTAAAAAAGAACCCTTAACGTGTTTATTTTGTGTAATAATTATGCAACCCGGACCTCGAGGCAAGTACCTAGATACCTGTTTAAAATAAAATGAAATGAAAAATTAATTTGCAGACTTTTGCATTTTTCTTGGAATTATTATTCCACAAATAAACAATATTTGTTCGGTAAAAGAATTTTTTGCATAATATTTATAGAAAATGTCTGCATTCTTCCCTCATTTAATCATCAATTTCTTTAGACACTTACAATAACATAATCAGATATATAGTTAAATAAATATTCACTAATTCCATAGATTATTTGTAAGGCTGAGCCATTTTCCAGACACATATATAATCTACTTTATGTCGGCGCCCCAGGTATGGCAAAAAGGTATTTGCAAATTGGCGAAATTGTATAGAAAGAGATTTAGGGAAGCTGCACATGGAATTTGGCCTGGCCGCTGGCTACATGAAATTTAATTATGTCATACACACAAAACACACACGCACACGTTCATAGTGCTGCTGCTTGGTGCGAAGAGTGTGCGATGAAAAGGGCAAGAAGAAGTTTTAGCCAAGAAAGAAGCTCAGTTCGCACAGTTGCCGAGTTGCCCAGTTTCCAGTTGGCCATCTAAGTGCGCAGTGTGTTGTTGCTTTTGCTGTTGGTGTCCTAATTGAATTTGTTACGGTCAGGCAATGCCATCATCATAGTGATCATAATGCTCATCATTATCATCGCCAGGCATCATCATAAAGTTCATCAAACACCGCCGCTGCGGGTATTCGAAATTGAATTCAGTTACGGGAAATACATTTGCATTGATTTGCTTTTTATTTTTATGCGTCTGGGCGACAACGAAACGCATTGACATTAATAAAAATTTCCTTTTGAATTTTGATTGCTTTATGTTGGCCTCGGCCAAGCCCATCCCCCCGTGTATAGCTCCTTATTGTTGTCGCCTGCCTTGTTCCCGCTGATTATTATTATTATTTTTCTTGTTATTTACTTAGTGCTGAGCGTGGCCAAGTCCTGTCGCGTCCTCTCGCTGCTTAAGTGGAAATTGAAATTTTTCATTACACAGCCTTTGGTAATTTCCTACTCCTGTCGCCGGCCAAAACTTAAATAATTTATGCAAATATTTTGCGGTGGCAGCTCTCCGCCTCCGCCTCCTCCTCCTCCTCCTACTTCTGCTGCATAACTTTTGTGTCCAACAGGCTGGCCAATTTGGTTGAAGACGCTGATTGTGTGGCGACATTTTTTATTTTTACTTTCTCTTAAGTTTTTAGTAGGCAATTATCTCTAAGGGAAATTTGAATTTTTTGTTTACTATTTTTGATTTTAAATTTGAATATTTTGAATATATTTTTGAAGTTTGTAAAAAGTTACTTTTCTCATAATATATTATTAATATATCAATTTTTTGAAATCAGTTTTACAAATATGCTGCAAATTACATAAATTAAATGCTTGTGATATTTAAATGCATTTCCTATTTTTGAGGCTAATAATGCAGTATAAATTTTATATTTTATGCCACTAGAATAACAAAATAGATACAAACTAATCAAAGTTGAATTTTTTGCAACGACGCTTTTATCACAAAGCTAGAATTCTGCAACTTTTACAAGTTTTCTCTAATTAAAGACAAGGAGATAAGGAGAGAAAGAGAGAGAGAAAGAGCAAAGGTCCCAAACATCATAAATATGCTTGCAAATGCACTTTGAGCGCACTTTGCGCTTCCCATTTGTGCTGCAACTAGAAGTCATTCTAGCATGCATATGCATAACTCTCTTTGGGGTTGCTGGTTAACTGCGCCCCAAAGTATGCAACTGTATATGCTTATTTGGCGTTTATGCCACAAATTGGACGCCATGTTTATGAGCTGTGTATTTGTGCTTGTGTGTTTGCAGGGCAGCCAGCAGTGGAGCGGAGTGGAGAGGAGAGGAGGATAACCACACGACTTGGGTAACCACAGTCGCTGCTTTTGTGAGCATTAAATTGCTTGATATCGTAGCATACCATAGCATAAGTAAGTATATGCATCTATATATATATATATGTAAGGTATTTTCCTTTTTTTTTCACTCTCTTGTGACTCTTAGCTTAATTTTCCATGGCAATAGCTCAGCTGATTTTCCATGCGCTTTTCCTCTTTTGAATTATGCTCGTCTTTGTCTCGTCTTAAATACCATAATGCACATTTTATAATAATTTTTCGTTTGCTTTACTGCAATTTCGTGCAATTTTTTACCATAATTTATATAAGTGTCCGTGTGAATGTATGTGTGGTTATTCATCATTGTTGTTTTTTTCTCTTGCAACTTTCTCGCTACGTTACAAAATTTGTGCAGCTCAGCATTTCGAATATGCTCACAGTAAGAGGTATGTATGTGTGTGTGTGTGTGTGTATGTGTGTGTGTGTGTGAGTGTATATGTGTGTGTGTGAGTGTATATGTGTGTGTGTGTAAGAGTGTGTTTGTCGGGCGTAATTTTGAGTTATGGCAGTTTTGTAGTTTGCGTAGAAAAACTTTTTTAATGCTCGACTTTCCTAGCTGTTGCTCGAAGATCCTTTTACACTTTTTCATATTCTGACACTGGGCAGGATTCTCTCTGTGCCGGTATTTAGTTAAATGTTCGTAAAATTGAGTGTTGGATATATTTTACTTCAACTTCTCGTCATCCCCTATCTATGCTCATCTGTATTGGCTTTAATCGATTTAGCAAAAGCAATAAGCAAAAAACTTTTATAAATGCCCAAGTTTGTTTTAGTTTTATTTAATTTTATGTTTTCTTTTATTTTTCTTTTACTTTGCTTAGGATACTCAGACTTACTATTAGATCCAGAGTTGTAATTAGGATCTTAACTTTACGACTTCATTAATTGCCTTTTGTAGCTTTTATTAATGTAAGTAGTTATTACAGTCGCATCCGGGTTTGAACACAAATTTGAGCGCACAAGAAAAATTATTGTTCATTGGTGTTAAACGATTTCCTCGAAGTCTAGAAAAAGTTTTGCCCAAAAATTACAAAATGAATAATTACCAAAATGAAGAAACATTTTCATTCAACTGGTAACTGGAATTTATATGGATGTAGAATGTTTAGATGGCATCTAAAATGCAGTTCGACAGAGTTGATATTTAAGACCTTATTCGAATTTATCTTGAATTACATATCAAATTTGCAATTGCTGAAAACTATGCAAAGCAATTAATTTAATTTACATATCGTTAAATTGTATATGTAAAAATGTATCATTTTAATTTTGTATTTGGAAACATTGGAACTCTTTGCCAACTGGGAATGACAATAAGCCTTAATTTATCGACACAAATAGAGGCTTAAATACATAGTCTATTGTGTGATTGATTTATGAGTTCAGAGTTCAGCAAGAATCATGAATCAGTTTCTCTGGCGTTAGTTGACTCAATTGTCACATAAATTGCGTATACGCCTCGTGGACTAGCCTCTATCTTGATGAATTTAAAGCCTGACTCTGGCTTCTGGAACAACTAAATGACGCTAAATGCAAAGCTTGGCGTAAATAAAAAGTTAAACGATGCTACTAAATAACGAGTCGAGTTTGTTTGCCTCGTTTCCAGTCTCGGTGCAGCATCCGGGGATGCCAAAGCGGAAAGCGCCCACACACACTCATTCTCACACACACACACACACCCACACACACATGGTACCAAAATGTTTGCCACAATTTGTAGCAACAACTCGAAAAGTGGAGCAGCTACCCACCCAAAACCTCATCTGTTTACACTCAAACCTTTGCCTGGAGGCCAGCAAACGCATACATCAAATGTGTCAAAGAGATTTGTTATGCATGACAGCGGCCTGGACTGGAAAAATAGGTACAGCAACAATTACAAGTGTGCTCCATGGGAGACTGCACAACTGGATGATATCCAGCTTACATATACAAAAGTTCACACTAAATTTAAAAAGTTACATGTCTACCAAATAATTTTTTTTTTTTTTTTTGTAGCGCTCGGCTTATTAATTCACAATCTTAAGTAATTTTGTTTTTATTGTACGAGATACATTAATATTAAGATAATATAGTATTATATTCATAAGGAAACCTCTAAATATCAACTGTCTTATAAACGAAGTAAAGTTTAGTTAGACAGACGGATTAAAACTCATATTTTATGGCTTCAAATGCATCTCAATTTATTTGCATAGGCTTAAATCATCATCTCATTACTTTTATACTTGGATACAGGGTATATCAAAAGCCACAGTTATGGTGTGTTTCAGATCTGCATTACGACAAAAAAAGGGCCACGGATATAATGTGAAAATGAAGATGGGCGCAATTTTTGCGTAATTAAAGTTCCGCTGCTAATTGTGACAAATGGCAGACGAGTTCAACAGTAGGCTGTAGACCATTTAAGGCACAATTCACATTGAGGTCACGCCCCAAGGTTAGCAGACAAAGGAATTTTAATTAAAAAAATAAATAAAAATAAAATAAAGACAGCAAAAAGCTATTGTTTCAAGGGAGGCTGCTTTTATTAAGCCGAAGCATATCCAAACTTTTTCAAGAATTATTACCTGAAAATATAAATGAATATAAAGTATTTAGAAAGCTATAAGCAAAAATAATCAACGTCGTTTCCTTGTTTAAGCTGCAAGCTAAATCAAATTTGTTTTCTTCATTACAGTTAGGAATTCCTCGCGGCAAACTTCACCATCGCCATCCAAGTCGGCCTCATCGATCATCTCCTGCAGCTCCTCATCGGTGAGATTCTCCCCCAACTCTTTGGACACTCGCTTCAGATTGTCAAACGAAATGTGATCAGTTCCATCGTCATCGAAGAATGAGAACGCCTTTAGGATGTCCTGCTTGGTATCCTTGGCGGCCATTTTTAAGCGCATCAAGTACAAGAAATCATTGAACGCAATGCGACCCGTCTTATCCTTATCAATCTCATCCATCATATTCTTGATCTCATCCTTATCGGGCTCAAATCCCAAGGCACGTATTGCTACTCGCAACTCCTTGACTTCAATGAACCCGGTGCACTCTGTGTCAAAAAGATCGAAGGCCTTTTTAATGTCAACCTTCTGTTCCAGCGACAGGTCAAAGGTCGGCAACAGGCGCTTGTTCTTCGCCTTGCGGTACCTCAGCATACCCGAGCTCATGTTCGATTGGACGGTCGCCGTCGAGCCAGCGCTGCTCAAATTCTTATCCATTTTAATGCGACTTCTTTCACGTATTGAAAATATGTGTTTCAAATTTTTTTCCTCTATATTCGAAAATAACTTTTATGTATTTTTTTGTAGATTTATACGTATTTTTTGTTGTTAGACCTCACCGTTCGGGAACTGAGCTCAATGTGATTTTCTATTCATTTGATGTTGACTGCCGACTTAGGGTGGGGGCGTGGCATGCTTATTTACAAGTGTATCCCAACAGTAATGTGAAATGTTTTATTTTATTATAGTGCCAAGGTTTGCTGTTTAAAATAGTTTTCAAAATAATCTTCTAAATAGATTATTTATTATTTTTTTTAATAGATTATTTTGTAATATGCGAGTAAAAAGTGTTTTTGGTATTTGGTAATAGGAGGCGAATCTATGTCTATAAAAAAAATTATTATTAATATTTACATCAATGGATATTAAGTCGGATAGTTCACAACTCCGAGCTGGCAGTGAACATTATTAGAACATTTATTTTATTACAATTATTTTAGAATTGGCTTTCAATGCGAACACTCTCCCAATTTGTCCACTTATTACCATTTTTGAAGTATCAAGGTTGACTCAGTGTGTGGGAGCTGGATCACTGGTTTCTACAAACTTGGACAGATATGGAGAACAAAATGTGGTAGGTGGCATGTGGCAGGTGGCAGGTGCCAGGCAGCAGGCAGCGAATTTCAGGTGTTATTCTGCCATCCTCTTAGCTGTGAGCTGCCCAAATGTCAGTCAACGCTGTTCCTGTTGCTATTATTGTTGATGTTGTTGTTGCTACCACTACGTGCTGCGAATTGTTTGCCGAGGAAATTGAGGCTGCAACAGGCCATTATGGACCCTTCCCCACCAGGAAAACAATAGCCTCAACATGCGTGGCACGTGTTTTTGATAGGTTGCGAGGGGGTGTTGCGACTTTTGTGGTATGGGGCAGCTCGCGGTTGCTGCTCATGATTCCAATTACATAAACATAAGTAAGTAAGTTAACTAGCGGCTACTAGGAAATACCCTAGGATATCCTGGATACCCCTCAGTCAAACTGCTTGCAGATATAGATAATAACTCTTAGATTAATAACTATTATATTACATTAAAATATTTAAAGTTTTATATCCCATTTTCCACAATGTAATCTTTATATGAATATATAGACTACATTTTCAGAGTTCAGCTTTTAAGGTCCTCAAGAAATAGTTATTCCAAATTTGTAGAATGGATAGAGTTATCCATAAAACAAGCTTAATTCATGAGAAACAAAAAAAAAAGAATTTAATTTCTTTAGCTCTTTTAATTCAGTCTTTAAAACTGATCAAGAAAACAGTTAGCTTATATACGTCATATGCATATTAAAGGGCTTACAGGGTATCTATGTCGGTTTTTGCTTGTGTTTGTTGCTCTCACCTGTCGTTCACCGCCAAGGGATGTTAGCGATAATTTGCGATTCCTCTCGCGCTCCAGTCTCATGAGTATCTGTGCATTCTGCTCACAGGTGTAGGTGTGTGTCTTGCGTCGCCGCTCCAAGCTGTACTCGTAAAGGGGACGCGCCGCATCCGGTTGCAGTTGCGCTTCATCGCCGGCATCACAGCTGCAAAGCGATTGATTGCTGCGTCCCTTGGCCCGCTTGAGGGAGCCACGATTCGACGAGGAGGAGCAGCGTTCGCTCACATAATCGGAGAATGTGACGACATTGTGATTGCTGCCGCCATCGTAAGCGGTTGCCGGACGCAGTGCGGGTCCAACTGGGGCAACGCACGCTTTTCGCTTCGATGGCGATACATAGTAAATATCGTGCTCATCGAACTCGACGCTGCTGCCGATGCGCTGCGGCAGCGCTGTGTTTGCTGTTGCCGTGCTGCTGCTGGTGCTGGCAGCGCTGTTGCCGCCGCTGCTCAAATTGCAGCCCTGATCCGCTAGCGAGTGCTGCTGCAACAGCAGCGAATTCGCCGGACGATCACGCAGCGAGTGCTGTTTATGCAAACGAGGCGTCGCTGCTGATTCGAAGCGACGCAGCTCCGTCATCTTATAAGGATCTCTCGCTCTCTCTATCTTGCTCTCTCTCTCTCTCTCTCTCTCTCTCTCTCTCTCTCTCTGTGTTAGTCTAAAGTTGTTTAGCTTGCGTTCTCGGATAGCTTATTGTCATCACATTGGCTGGCTTAGCTGGCCATCTCTTGCACGCGCTCTCTCTCTCTCTCTCTCAGACTCTCACTCTGTCTAGCTCTGAAGTACTTTGGCTTGCATTCGCTCGCTTTCTCTTATTGTCATCACTTGGCTGGCTGGTTGGCTTAGCTGGGTCTGTGCGACTCATGTAATATTCATGTGGCTCGTTCGCACACTCCACATTAGCATAACACTTTGTTGGCTCTCTTTTCGATATCCATAGATACATATATATATATATATATCTATGTATCTATATATATATATATATATATATATATATATGTGTGTATGTGTTTAATTTTAAATGTGCCTCGGGATGAGGCTAAGCCGGCTAACGATTTCCTTATGTCAATATAGCAAATTCGCAATCCGCTTTCAGCCCGAACGTTTTCAGCTAACTGTTCCGATACCGTCAAGTGCTCTGGCTTCCTTCGCTCCTAAGCCCGCTTGCTGGGTGTGATGTGGCCTGTGTTCTGCCGTCTCATTGGCAGCCGTTTAGCAGTTTCGATTTGCGTTCAACTCCCACTCGGCTTTCGTTTGCTTTCATTTTTTTGCTTCCTTTTTTTTTCTCTCAGCCTGTTGTCTGTTTGTTTTATTAATAGACTCGTCTTTGCCACACTGCCTGCGCTGCTAATAACTGGAAAGGAGCAAAGGAGAATTTGTGTGTTAGAAGTGAGTGCCAAAAATTGTGTGTTCTTTTCGGATTTCCTATGTGTGTACAAATAAGCGACTGTGCTTTTCTATGTGTGTGTGTTGTTTAATGCTTAATTGGTTTTTGGTTACGTTTAATCCGTTAAAGTGTGACGAAATTGTAATCAAACGTTTCAGTGACAAATTCCGATTTCGGTGGCTTTACATTAAATTTCAAAATAGATATATATTTTATTGCACAAGTCTGCAAGATTATAATAAACTAAGTTAGCCAGAACTATTTGAAGTATTATTTAAAGCAAACATCTTTATTATGTTAATTTGCCATGGACCATTTGCTTTTAGTCAGCATTTATTATTTATTATTACTCAAAGTGGTTTCTTGATTTTTTATTCACCAAATTTTAATGGATAAATGTCACAAATATTTTGAGAACATTTCAAACTGTGTTATCCCACACGATTGAGTTAAAACTCTTGTCAACTATTTAAAAAACTTGTTGGTTTTTGGCAACAGAGCAAGAGAGAGAGAGAGAGAGAGAGAATTAACTTATTTCATGCGCTCATTAAGCTATAACCAAAGTTGATTAAGGCCTTGAGAAACTTTTTGTTAAAGAATGTCTTGCAGCACTTCAGCTCTGTATTGGCAAGTTGAAGGCTGTCGGGGAGGGGTTAAAGTGTGGCAGACAAAAAAGACAAGACTGTGACAAGTTGAAGTGGCACTCGAAATATGCCCAAGACAAAATGTTTTCTTGTCGCCAGGACGAAAGCTAAAGTTGCCGTGGCAAAACTTCTTAAAAATACTTAAGAAGCGATAAATATCTCAAAGTATATTTATATATCTATACACACACACACACACACACACATGATAAAATACTAAGTGTGTGTGTGCGCTTGGCGGGAGGGGGATTGGCAAATGTTTTGACTTTTGAAACTTTGCTCGAGTTGCCTATTTGTTACTCTACATGTTGTTGTTCTTTGAGCATTGATAGCAGCAATTGGATACGCCCTCGCCCCCTCTTCCCACTCTCCCACTCCCCCGCAAGCTGAATGCTTCAATATTTTGGGAATTGTTGTTGCTGCCATACACTCATTATCTTTTAACGTTATTATTATGCTGCACACTTCGAAAGCTGTAGCAAAAATTTGTCCCAATTTTCGTTGGCTTTGCAGCTTTAACGCAAATTCCCTTAAAATTCCATTTTAACAACAGTTTTAGAGCCTAGGCAGCTGCTCAATTATATGTGTTTGAAATAGCTCTTGTTCTTGTTCTTGTTCTTTTTGCCGTTGCTTATTAAAAACTTGCCATCGTTTCGGCCCAAATTGTTTGGGCCATCAAATGAAATGCTGCCTGAACCAAATGGCGTCTCAATTTGTGTGCTTGCAAATCATAGAAGAAGAAATTTGTACAAAATAAAAAAAAAGGAAAAGGTTCACAAAACTCGCATGGAAATTTTCACATAAATTCAGATGAATTTGTCTATCAATCAATAAAGGTAACTGTGCCAAGGCACACGCGATTTACTTGTGTGTGTGCGAGTGTGTGTGTGTTTCTCAAAATTAAAAGTAAGAATCGAAAAAAGACTGTGAAAATCCTCTTATTAACAAATTATTTCTACATATGTAAATAAAACTCAATAATTAAAATTAAATAAAAGAAACATATTTTTGTAGTTGTAACACGCAAAATTGAGGAAGATATGCATGAAGTAATTTTAAAATTTATTAAATTATTTATTCTTATTTTTAAAGTGTTCCAGCCAAAATTGTCAGTCACAAATTGGAGAAAAACCTTCTACACCATTATTATTTTTACAGGGTATAGGCAAGCAGCGCAAGCGTCTATGATCAATAAAAATTGGCAACTGGCAGCTGTTGACAGCCGCAGACTGAGACTGGCGGCTGTCTCACTTAACTTGGCTTTGACGCACGCATTTCCAATAATAATAAAAATACATTTTCTTTTTATGCGGTTGCTGCCTTTTGGGATTTAATTTTTCAAATACGTTTGCAAACTTGGCAGACTGCTGAAAAATGTTTAAAGTGAAGCCAAGCAAAATATGACGATCATCAAATTTGTCTTGAAAAAAGCAAATGATGAAGATAAAGACAAAGAATTAAATCTGCCAATCATATTATTTTTAGAGCTTCCCGAACGGAGTCAACATTATATGGCAGCAGTAATTTGGATTAATTAATTCTGGCATTGATTTTACACAGAATCTGTGTGCGGGTCAGGTTCAAAAGGGTTTTATGTGTCAGGTCATAAAGTCTAACTAGAAGCAGTGCTTCAAGTGGGCAACCTATCAAATGATAAAGGACGAAGCCTTTAGTGTGGCAGTGGGAGTGAAAGGACAACGTCATGAACAGCGCCCACGCAAATGAAAATCTAATTTAGTGCCACACGCACACAAAGAAACAGGAAGTATGCTAAGAAGGGTAGCAAAGGGGGTTGGGTGATAGGGGATGGGGAGGTGGGTGGATGCGGCGCGGAGTGTGAGCTCTTAGGCACAAATATACATACACAAGTGATACATGAGCTCATGGCGGCAGTAAAATCTTCGGTTTGCCTTTCATTTGCGTTTAAAGACCCAAAAGGACTTCCGCCTGCAGCGGCCTACAAATTAACATGCCCCCAATCTGTGATTCCCTTACTCACTATGTGTGTGTTCGAGTACGTGTGTTTGTGTGTGTGTGTGTGCATGTGAGTGTGTCCCAGCGAGCTCTATGAATTATGACGAAAGCAGCTGCAGACTTAATGGAAAACGCTGAGTTTGTGGCCCGGCTGGAAGCCAGAACTGAAGCACACGCAAGGCGTAAATTAGAAAAACGTATGCGGGCGAGAGTAACCGACTGACAGACACCGTGTAATTAGCATCAAAATATATATTATTTATTAAGTATTCCCTTTAAAATTGAGACAGAGGAAGTCAAATATTAGAAATCGTTTCAAATTAAGAATATGTAATAAAAATGTTCAAATGTCAATACAAAATTGGCGTATTTAACAATTGTTCCATGAATTGAGTAAAATGCAGAAAAAACCCAACCAAAAATAAAAATAGTTAGTATGAATTAATTAAGAGTTCTCTGTGTATTAACCGATGGCTAAGGCTCAGAACTCGCCACTCATTAATCATATATAATTTCGGGATTCGGTTAGAGTAGTAGGTGTACTCGGAGATACATCCCACTGGCTGCTGCAGACCAATTTACCCAACTTCATGACAACCATTTTGTCATTTTGCTATAGCATACTTACTTGGGCTCTCAACACACACAACGTGAGGTCTTTTAATAAGTTTGCTGTTTGCGAGCAATGCGCTCGGCTTTCCATTCTCTGCCTATGGCTATAAATTAGACACGATCTATGCGCAGCATAGAGAAACTTTGGACTATAAATACGATTACGTTTCTGTTGTAGCACCCAAAATAAAAATACAAAAAAAAAAACAGAAAAAAACAGCAAAAATGGTTGCTGGAGCACTTTTAATTTTTGACACGTAGCGCACAAAAGAAAAAGAGAGCAAAACACATGTTCATTGACATTGTAAAACCAGACAAGTCAAATACATACACTCTGTGTACATGTACATGTATGTGTGTGTGTGTGTGTGTGTGAGTGTGTTGGTGTGTGTATATTTTAAAATGCCAACAGGCAAAGCGTATAATGAGTTTTGTGGCGCCAGGTCGTAAATACATTCGTTTGCCCGTATATATTCTCGTTGAGTCGTATATTCGCTTATTCGCCTATGTAAGTATGCCCATAGGTTGGCTATAAAATTTGTTTAACACCAATTCGCCGCACGCACCCACGCACCAATCAAATTTATTTCATTTTACATACATATCTATATACATATATCTACATATGTGTATCCATATACATATTTATTTTGTCCTTTTCTTATTATTGCTTGTTGCTGTTTTATGACAGCGCCAGCAAATTAATGAAATTTCTGTAATAAATCATTGGCAAAGCGAATAAAAACGCCGCCCGTACTGTATTTTTGATATGTTTAACAAAGAAATATGCGCATTATACGTTGAGAATATCAACAAAATGCACAAAAATATTTACAGTGAAAAATCAAATGTCTCACGAGTAACATGAGCAACATGAGTCCGTTGGGTTTTTAAGTCCTTTATAAATATGGCTCAAATTAATTATTGAATTCGTAAATGTATTTTAAATGATTGCAGTAGTATTTTAGTGAGGCGAGATTAATAAATCAGGCAGCTCAACAAATTATATCACAATTTATAAGTTGTCCCCTTCTGCTTGACTCTAACTTTATTACTAAAGCTCTTTCGTCCCTTTTAAATTTAAAGTTTGCAACCTGCAAATTTTTAATGAATTTTAATGTAACTCTCAAGTTCTTCAAATACCCGTAAGCCACGCTTAGCAAAATGGTTAGTTAATGTTTAATTAATTTAATCAATTTCTCATGCCACACAGCACTCTTTGCTGTTTTCCCAAAGCTTGGTCAAACATATTTAACTAAAAAGTCTTACCATAAGCCCCAGCAGACGCTAGCTGCATGCGAATTGTGAATCCCCAAAAAACCATTCACAAGTCATATTTTTTGAACTCCAAGTGCGTTGACTGCACTTTTGGTGGAGCGCATAAAACTTTTCACTTGCTCCGTTTGCCACTCCCTGTTGAGCTCTGGGAACCACAAAAAGAGTCATCTGGCTGTGGAATCTATATATCTCTGTCGCACTCTCTGTCTCTCTGTCTCTTTGTCTCTATCTGTTAATTCCGCTTGCTTCCGTTTCTAAAAGTTGCGCTAGCTAACAAAAATTCAAGTGGTTTTGGGTGGGCCAAAGGCTTTTAGCTGACTTAACACCAGCGAGGACATACACTCTAATATATTGCACCCACCACCCACAATCCAGAGACCCACTTTCCTCTACACTACTCCTTAGTGGGCTCATAAAGCTTGAGCTTAAGCATGTCGGTCCCAAAAAGGGTTTCCTGCTTTGACTTTGGCTTCACAAAAACAACAAAAAAAAAAAGAAAACCAACAAAAAATAGAACAATTTTTGCACAAAACTAACGCCCGCATGAAAATTGTGCGTATGGGGTCTATGGGTGGTTTGGGCCAACTTTGAGTGGGTCAAAAAACACAAGTTAACAATGGCGTTCGTGACTTTAAATAAAGAAATAACTTGTGTGCATAGTTCGACTCAAACAATGCGCGGCGTTGCGCTAAGAATTTAACATGGATACGCTTTTATATATATGACGCTATGGACTTGGAGGCGTGAACGTTTTCCTGCTTAATGGGCGTGGCACTTGCCTTCACTAACAATGCGCCGCAGTCTTTGTGCAAATTTCGCATTTTTTTTTTCTGTTCACTGTCCTTTTTTTGAGACGGGCAGCATAAAAAGTTCAGCACTTAATAACTTCTTTTGCTTTTTTTTGGCTTTTGTCTTTGGCCTTTTCTATTTCAGTTTGGCTCCATTGGCGGAGCTATGCTTAAACTGGCTTTCAGACATTGTTGTTGTTGATTTATTTATGGCCCTACGCATTTCGCAGGCTGCATTTTGACTTATTTATTCACTTACCGTTGTTTGCATTTCCACGCAGAGCTCGAACGACAAACAGAACGAACTGTAATGAAAGATGTTAAGAAAATATATTTTTAATATGCTGCATTCTCTAATGGACTTGGTGTAGTTTTTTCTTATAGCAGTTGTAAGTGCTGCATCGTAAATAAACATTTTGATAGTTATTTTCTTAAATCTTTTAGTCTTTAGTCAATAATAATTATATAAGAACTTTATTTTATAAATTAATCAATATTTAAGTAATTTTTTCTTTGTTCTGATGGTTTTTTGTTTTCATATTATTTATAATATTAGACAGATTTATATAGTTGATTATAGTAATATATTTTCATTGTCATTCAATTTTTATTCATCGAAAATGCTTAATTCCCATTCAGCAGCAATTTGAAAATCTGCAATTATGCTGCCTTTTATTAAAAAATGATATTTGCATAATTAATCGCCGCACACAGACATATATACCCGCAGAGTAGCCACACAGAGATACACAGAAACGAGTGCATTTCAATGAGAGAGTTCAACACATTGTCATAACTAACACAAACTTATTTATCCCCGGGGTCCGATTTATATTACTTCCCCGTTAGCAATGTGGCAGCCAAGCTTTGTCTCTCCTTTCGTCCCCGACCACTCTTGCCACACCCTTGCAGAAATATGGATGCACAGTCGTCGTCGTCGTCGTTGTAATGGCGGAGGTTACTACTCCAAGGTCTGTGCTGTAAATTTATCAGTGTCAAAAATAATAGCGCTCCGTTTTCGCTTTTAATAATTTCCCTCGGCAACGAGCCGAGTGCAAATATTTGGAGCGGAAATTGCTGCTCGAGTCAGAAGAACGGCAATACCAAAACGAACAAAAACAAAAAGTGCTCAACTAAGCAGTGATAGACTCCCAAATACCGCCGATCTATTTGCATAGATCATGACTTCAGCGCCTTCATCTCTGATTTCAAAATACATATTCACATATTTTTATTATTATATTGAACTGCAGTATTCGCTGTGAGGATGCTATGGAAGTCTATCATAATTGAAAGACTTTACATCCATGCACAATTTAAGTATATAGTCGTCAAGTTCCAACACCTTGTTACAGGGTAAAATTATGCCACCAAAATAAAACAGTCGGACATTAGAACAATGTGCCCAGTCTCAGTGCATTCGCGCCAGGACACCAGGGCACCACATGCCATATACTTACACACACACACACACACAAACATAGGAACAACCTTACACACACATGAGTGTGTTTCTGTGTATTTTTGGTGTGCCATCTAAATAATTTTTAGTTGGAGAGTATGGTTAGCGTCCTAGCGACATTTTGGGTAACGCCATTTGTGCAGCCCAATTGCTCTAAATTTTCTATTGTGCCATATGCCCCGCCCCACTCCCCGCCCCCATCCCCTTCGCAACTCACACTTTCCTCGCATCATATCCCACATTTACTTTTCGATTTATTTTGTTAAGGCAACGCAATTGTTTGCGTTGGCTGTGACAACATCAAAGCCATCATTAATTTAATTGAACTTAGCTTTTTGTTCTGGTCGGGATTTTTTTTTATTATTTTTTATTGTTGTTTACGTCACGTTCTTATTAGAAGCAAAATTAATTTCATTATATTTTGCATGCAATATTTTTTAAGTGATTGACATTTTAATTTTGCCAGTTCAAAAGTCAAACATTTGCTTAATTAAGCAGGAAAATTTAATCTATTCTAGAATGTCTTTAAAGTGATTTTAGCTAAAAATGTATTATCTTTTAACTAACATTATGTATTTGTTGATTCTTGAGATTAAGTTGGAAAACATTTTTAATATTATTTTTTTGTTTTTAATATCTGGCAACTGTTTTGCCCAAAAAGTTTCGACCACAAATTCAAGTGCTTGGGAAAAAGTAAACTTTCCATTTAGATTGCAGTACCCTACAGTTGTGCACATTAAGCAGAAAGTTTGGACATAAATTCAACACCCCACACTCATAAATACGGGCACACTTACATCGATAAGAGGCCGACAAAACTTCAGTGACTGCGACGCTCGCATATCATAATAATAATAATAAATAAAATATGCAGCAGCAGCGACAGCAACTTTTTTGTTTTTTAAGCTATTGACTAAATACTTTGGCAAATTCATAAATTGAGGCACATCGTAATGGCATAAATATTTGAAACATCCAAAGATGCAAAGCAACGCCCAAAAAAATTACTAAGCAAAATACCCGAGAAAATTGAGTTGAAAACTTTTGCCTGTTTTTTATTTTGCTCTTTTGATTTTTTTTTATTTTTTGTTTTCTTGTTTTAATACTTTGTGCGTGCTCTGCGTATTGTCGCTCCAAAGAGTCAACTTTATTGAGTCGATTTCGTAGAAACGCGAAACAGAGTTCAGCAAAATGTGTGTGAATGCTCGATGGGCGAATACCCTGTAACAAGTATTTTTACTTGTTAAATGTTATAGTTTCTACGTTTTTATTTTGTTAAAAAGCTTCAAAACTTAATTAGAGAGAGAGAGAGTAAGCCATGATTAATAACGTATTGCTTTTGAAAATGAGTTTTTATTGAGATTTTTTTACAATACAACAAAATGTTCATTCCCTTTTTACTGTCCCGCAGAGTAGAAATCTTAAATCAATTTTCTCAGAAATCCTTTTTAACCCACTGTTTCGTTTCTTCAATAAAACATTGTTTGACTTCTGCAATGCTTAATTTAATAAATTTTATCATCAGCTGAGCGACGAAACATATTCACTACAATAACTCCAACAATTTTACCGATTTATCAATTTACAGGGTATGAGAAACAATGGCAGGTAAACAATTCCAGAATTGGCAGTTGTGTGTTTGTCACGCTTGCTTATTCATGAGCATTCGTCAAAGCTCACTTAATACTCCCACATTGGCACAGGCTCAAACATTTCTGACCAGTTTCAGTGACAAAAAAGAAAAAAAACCGAAACTTGAATGCGAGTATCTTTTTGAGAATGTCATGTTATAATCCACATGGATATTAAATGAACAAAGAACAGACAGAGAAAAGTTTCGCATTCATATGCAGCATTGAACTTCATCGGATCGTGTCTATCACCTTGACTGGGACAATTAGGGCGTCGCACAGGTGGGCGTGGGCCGGTAAGAAACCTGCCGAGTCCATTATTACGAGCCACAACCAAAACAACCACAACAACAACAACGACAACAACAAAATAGAACGGGCAGTATACTTTAATAAGCCAATAAGTTTGCGTTTAGGCGCTTCTCTAGTCCTGGGTTTATTTTTTACCTCAAAAGGCAGTGCATTAATATTTATGCGCGTATTACGCTTGATTGTGGCATAGACTCAATGCTGTTGATGTTCTTGTCTTACTTCTTTATTTTTTTTGTTGTTGGTAGTCGAGGCCATGCGTGCGTTATAAATAAAATTAAATGTATCAGTTAAGTTGAATTTGGTTCGAAACGGTGTCGATAAGTCGAGTCTTTTGGCCAGCAGCAAGAAGTAGCTAATGAGATTCCACTCCCAAAAGGGATGCTTAGCTGGATGCTGTTGCTGGATGCTGTTGCTGTTGCTATTGGTGTTCCTGGCTCTGGTTAATGATGCAGTCCGTTAGCGTTTAATGTTCGACTGAAGGTACTTTAGAGCAATGTGATTATCCCTGAATTTGGAAGTGAATGCGGCAGAAGCACATTATAGAAGGGGCATGTTAACTTTCACGCCCCACCGCCCCCCGTTTGATTTGTGATTATTACCAAAGAAATTGTTTTGTTGCCCAAAAGTTTGAAGACGTCTGCCTATCTACGTTACGATAATAACAAGCCATTAAATATTGGTTTGCTTGAACATCATATTTACTGCTGGAAGATTATTATTCACTTGACCACCTTTCAAATCATACTTATTGATGTTTACGCTTCTGGGTTATCAAGCTTACCAAATTCAAAAATACTACAAAAGAAAGTGTTATTTACTTTTAGCATTTCCACGAACCATCGCCCATTAACATTGTTTGCCAAATTAGCTGGTATCGCAACCAACTCTATCCAATCATTTGGCTATGCATTTTATCTATTCAAATTACACGCAACTGGTTCCATTCAGCATTCTAGCTGCTCGTTTCGCTACCTCGCTGAGATATCTTTATCAAAGACTTTCTGTTGTGTTGCATGCACGCGAGTGAAATAAAAATAATGAGCGGCAAGGTGGCAGAGGAACCACAGAGGGGGTAACAACAGTAATGTGGCTTTTGCTGTTTGCTGTTTGCTGTTTGTTGTTACGCTGCTGTCACAAGCAGCATGAGCAACATGAACAACAATAGCGACAACAAAAGCAGCAACAACAATACAAGGAATTAACTCGCATGCTCGGCATAATAAACATAACGGCACTGCCTTCAGTTTCGGCATTGCTTTTGTTTTGGATTCGCTTTGCCTTTATTATTATTCTTATTTTGTTTTCGGTTTTTGGGTTTTTTTTTTATTTTATTTTTGTGGGCTGCTCACCCGCCGCCTTCCGTTTGGGGTTGTCTGCAGCTCCTTTGGCTTGGATTTATTTGCGCTGCTTCGGTCTGGCGCTGTTACCATGCAGAGAGATGCTAGTCGCGAGTCTCGCCTTGGGGCGAAAAGTACTCTCCGCACTACATGCACGAAAATGGCAAAAACTTGTAGCCTTTGCGACTCTTGCCACAACATCGGTGCTTACCGCCTTCACAGACAACTCCAAGAGTTGGTTTATGTTAGCAAAGACCGCATTGCGAAAGCGAGAGAGAGACACAGAGTCAGTGAGGAAGGGAGAGAGTTGGCAGCTCAAAGGCTCTCTACTAATTGAGTGGATGTTAGGTGGGCGCGTGGGCGTATGAGCAATGCTTACCCTGAACCTGAGCAATTAAATTGTTGTTTCTAGTTAGCCACTTAATGCGCCCCAATTTCTGTTTTATTATTTCTTTATTTTCTGTGAGCCGACAGATCTCAATCACTGCCTACACAAATGATGACCAGCCAATTATGCGAGGGTTGATCAGCTGTTCATTTAAAATCAAATCTATTTTTAATTT